TTTGAGAATTACAAAAAATAAGCGGAACGTAAATGCTGAAAATTATTTCCCGAATGCTCAGTTGTTTGTGCACTCTAAAAAGAGATGTGTTAAAAAACAACACACATCATGTGTTGATGGTATTTTGACACAAGTTGTGTAGTTTTTAACACACAATGTGTGTTAAAATGTAACTGGATAGAATTTTAATGGGTGGAGGGAAGTTTGTGTTTATGAACCTAATTGGAGGTAGTATATTTTCTATGGTATCCCATAACAAGCTCTAAAATAAATGAAACAATACATTACAATAAATAAATAAAATCTTAATTCATAAAAAACTTCAGATTAATGAGTGTTTTTGGCAGCCAATCACATCATGCCTCGGTTTCAATGTTTTTTCAAATGCTGATTTCACTTGTTATTGATAACTAATTTATTATAACAAACAATTTATTTCTGTCAGACGTCTACAGAAACACTTATTGAGAATTACCAGGTTTTGTGTTGACGATTCATTGAATGTTTGTTTTGATGTCACCAGAATCGTGATTAGTGGCAGCTTTATTTAGGCTCTTGACCCTTCACTCTTTATCATTCGTTTCTCTGTTTGCTGTTTCTGTGTATTTATTTTGCACATCTGAAACAGTTGAAATCATCTTGAGGAAAAAGATCATTAAATGATCAGTTTTCAACATGATGTTTTTTTAACATAGCAAGAGAAGTTAAATGTTTAAGAGATAACGTATATTTGATCACTTATATTTGATTACAGATACTCAGTTTTTACGTGATATTATGGTGTATGCTACCTCATGTTATAATTCTTAAAAAATGTATGTTTAGAGACAGTTTAAAGCTGCAGCAGAAACTAGTCAAATACAGACATCAAGAATCAGCATATGACTCTCAACAATGGTGGCAAAGCTTCATGTCTCTAGTATAAAGCTCATCCATAAGTACCAGCATGCATTGCGGCCTGAAATTTTTCGTTTGTCACCATTATTGAGATCCATACGCTGATTCTTGATATCTGTGTTTGACTGGTTTCTGCCGTAGCTTTAAACTTTTTTTTGTCATTCTGCACTTTTTGATTGCTGGATGTAGTTTCACAAAACTTTCAGAACTAACAATAAATCATTAAAATAAAGCACTCCATCCATATACTCAAAAACTTGATCATAACTGGCTGATTATGACATCATCAAGAACCATCTGATCATATTTTCTATCACCATAACAGATGCATTTTATTAAAATACAGTTACAGCAGCCAGAGAAACACTAAAACAAGAGTAAAGGGTCAAGAGCCCAAATAAAGGAGCCATTAATCACGATTCTGGTGACTTGAAATAAAACTGAAATGAAACATCAAACCTCTGTTAATTCTCAATAAGAGCTTGTCTATGTAGATTAATGATGTTTAAAACATCCAAATGTTCAAACAAACTCTATTAAACATCACTGGACTACATAAACACAAGTTACCAATACGGTTACCAATACGTGTCAGTGTTCATCCAAACACTTTTGTAAGCACACGGGAAGTAACTCTGGCAAATACTCTCCGACTACAGTCACATGTGACGCATATCTGACACAAGTTGTGTTACTATAACACATTAGTGTGTAAAAGGTTTCAACAACACACTGCTGCTGTCTAACACATTAGTTGTGTTAAACATAACACAAAATGTGTAATCCTTATAAACACAGAGATGTGTAAAGAAACAACACAGGTTGTGTGTTAAATTTGACACAACATGTGTTGTCCCTGAGCACACACACTAAATGTGTTAAAATCTACAAAACGGGTTAAAATCTACACAACATGTGTTAAAATCTACACAACATGTGTTAAAATCTACACAAAATGTGTTGTCCCTGAGCACACACACTACATGTGTTAAAATCTACACAGCATGTGTTAAAATCTACACAAAATGTGTTGTCCCTAAGCACACACACTATATGTGTTAAAATCTACACAGCATGTGTCATTTTTAACATCTCTTTTTACAGGTTGTGTTATTTACAAAATCATTTTATAAGAGTGCACCAGTGTAAATAAAACTTATTTACACACAATATTTTGTCAGTTGCTACATTTTAATCTAATTCAAAGTGCAAACTTAGTGAAATCACACTCCGTGTTAAGAACAATAACACACTGGTTGAGTTAAAAGTAACACAAAATGTGTTGTCCTTAACTAGACACACAGGTGTGTTAAGATATAACACAGGTTGTGTTGTTTTTAACACATCCATTTTAAGAGTGTAAGAACAATAACACACTGGTTAAGTTAAAAGTAACACAAAATGTGTTGTCCTTAACTAGACACACAGGTGTGTTAAGATATAACACAGGTTGTGTTGTTTTTAACACATCCATTTTAAGAGTGTGGAAAGGTCACAAGCTTTAATGAGCGAGGGGTGTTTTACTGATAGAGAGGTGTACTACCGACTGAAGAAAATTGTGAGAAAAGTTAGCATGGAAGTAGGAAGCAATGATGGTGTTTAAAAAATCGGATTCCATGGTCCCTGTTGCGATGGCTTTTTGTTGTGGTTTATATTAGCAAGCATGAGTAACATCAATATTGCATCCCTGAATGTGAATGGTGCAAGGGATAGCAAAAAAAGAGCGGAGATTTTTGAGTTGGCTATACAAAAAAAGTTTGATGTTGTGTTACTTCAGGAGACACATAGCGACTTAAAAATGAAGTCAATTGGGCCATGGAATGGGATGGCCTTGCTGTTCTGAGTCATCATAATTCACTTAGCGCAGGAGTTGCTGTTCTTTTCTCAAAAAATTTCACCCCTGTTTCTTATGAAGTGGATGAGATTCTAAAAGGAAGAATTTTAAAAATTAGAGCTGTTGTTGAGGATAAAGTGTTTGTTTTGATGTGTGTATATGCTCCTACTGTAACTACAGATAGAATAGTTTTTTTAGATTCTTTATGTTTGGCTTTACAAGAGGTTTCAAATGATGATATTTTAATTCTTGGTGGTGATTTTAATTGTACTGAAAAAAATATTGATAGAAATCACATTGAACCTCACATGTTGTCACGTAAAAGGCTTATCCAACTCATTAACACACACGAACTTAGTGATGTATGGAGAACATTTCATCACAATTGTAGACAATATACATGGACTCATGTTCGAGATAAGATTGTGTCTTTAGCAAGGTTGGACAGAATATATTGTTATAGTCATCAGAGTAATGTTTTTAGAAGTTGTAATATTTTTCCAGTTTCATTCTCTGATCACTGTATGGTTCATTGTGCTGTTTTCCTAAACTTTGTAAAACCACAGAGTGCATACTGGCACTTTATTAATGCTCTTCTAAACGATAAAGATTTTAAAGATATTTTAGAATTTTTTTGGAAGGATTTTAGAGACTCAAAGTCAACATTTAGCTCATTGCAACAATGGTGGGACTATGGAAAGGCCCAAATTAAACAGTTAAGTCAACAGTACACAAAAAATATTACTGCAAATTTAGATAGGTCCATGAAAGTTTTAGAAATGGAAATTGTACAGTTGCAAGAGCAATTAGAAAATAATGGACAATGGAATGTTATGAGGGATATTTCGGAGAAAAAATCTAAGTTGAATGATTTTTTGGAGACAAAAGCAAAAGGGGCTTTGATAAGGTCACGTTTTTTAAATGTTGACCAAATGGATGTACCATCTAAGTTCTTTTTTGGCCTGGAGAAGAAGAATGGTCAAAAACGTTTTTTTCATTCATTGAGATCCGACTCTGGGAGAATGTTGACTGATGTTAATGAAATACGCAAACGAATTGTTAGTTTTTATAAAGAGTTATATAAATGTGAGTTAAAAGATGAACAAAACATAAGAAATTCTTTTTTTAAAGAACTACCCCAAGTTTCTATTGAGTCTAATGGGGATATTAGTGGAGAGCTACGTTTGGAAGAGCTGGAAAAAGCACTCCAGAGTATGGCACTGGGAAAGGCCCCAGGTATAGATGGGCTCACTGTGGAGTTTTTTAAAGCTTTCTGGTCCGTGGTGGGGGAAGATTTGCTCGAGGTTTTAAATGACAGTTTTACAAATGGTCATTTGCCTTTGAGCTGTCATAGAGCTGTCCTTACCCTTCTACCAAAAAAAGGAGACCTCACAGAAATTAAATGTTGGAGACCAGTGTCAGTGTTGTGCAGTGACTATAAGATCCTCTCTAAAGCCCTTGCTAATAGACTTTCAGGGGTTCTAGAGCAAGTGATTCAGTCTGATCAATCATATTGTATCCCGGAGAGGTCTATTTTTGATAATATATCGTTCATACGCGATATTTTTGACTTGTCTAAAATGAAAGGTTTTGATGTTGGCCTAATCTCTTTAGATCAGGAGAAGGCCTTCGATAGGGTGGAACATCAATATCTTTTAAAAACTCTGGAGGCTTTTGGTTTTACTAAAGAGTTTGTGGGAAAAATTAAGATTTTATATAATGACATTGAAAGTATCCTTAAGGTTAACGGTGGCTTATGTGCTCCTTTTAAAGTGGAAAGAGGTGTAAGACAAGGCTGTCCTTTGTCAGGTATGTTGTACTCTATTGCAATAGAGCCTCTTTTATGCAAGATTAGAGAAAATATAAAAGGTGTAAGTTTGCCTTTTTCAGGTAAAACTGTTTCACTATCAGCGTATGCTGACGATGTAGTGGTCTTAATTAGTGATGTGGTGAGATCTGGTACTACCTCAGCCCTGAAGAGCGCCTGGTATCGAAGTGGCCAGGTGCCTTTTGCTGTCAGGTCAGAATTTCTGGATAAACGTTCCTTATAGCTCATTTAACCTATACCAGTGAATCTAGGTGTATCCCTACACTCATGTGAACCAATACATTATTACTAGCAACAACCATCAATGCAATTCATACTCACCCTCCGTGGAGATGCTTCCGTGGAGTCCTGGTGACCTCTTGCTCTCGCAAGGGTAGCTTTAATGCTCTTACTATTGCTTATAGAACTGGTATTGTGACCCGAGGCAAAGAACTATTCAACTTTTATCTTTATAAAATGAAAATTTATTTATACAAACGATAATAACACTGGTTACACAATGATTGTTAATAGTAGCAACAAAAGAAAAGGTTACAGATTATAATACCTCAGTTTCTCCCAACTTAACAGGGCAGTCCTGTATAAGTGGTTCAGTCACAAAGTTTTTCTTAACATACACAGTTCAAGTATCAAAGGAAATAACTAACCTTGTCTTTCTATGAGCAGGTCAAGTTAACATCAGACAGCTAAGCAGTTAAAGCAATATATGTTCCAGCAAGCTGGACTGAAGAATGATTACCTTCAGAGATGCACGCAAAAAATCTTCTAGCAAGATGCAACCACTAACACTGAAAAAGCAGCCTTATTTATACTGGCTGTGTGACCCAATCTCTCAGACCATCTGGGTTTTTCCATACACTTGCAACACAATAGTAACGGATACACTTGCAACACAATAGTCATGCGAACAATAGTCATGCGACTCTTAGTTCCTCTTTTGAGATTCGCTGAGCAGGCAGTGTGCATTCTTTCTCCCCTTCCGAGTCTTGGGTTCTTTGGTCTTTCTTGAATGTGTACATGCATATAAATTCATATGTGTTTTTGTAAGTTCATTAAAATCTAAACTCTGCGTTGCACCCCCTCTTGGAGTTATAAAAACACGTTTAATAAAATCCCTCGGATAAATGACATCAAGTTCATCAAGTTTAACATTATAAACATAGACAGTGGGCACCACAAAATCCAAACAACACTCATAAAACCTATATCTTAACTCAGACTCTCTTTGGAAGAAGCCAATTATCAGCCTTCCGTACTGTGCCAACAGACAGCCCATCGTTTGTCGATACCAACGCCGGTCCACCGGCATCCACCGGAATGAGTCCTTTTCTCTTGGGGCCTGGTCCATTGTCACCAGATCTGCCAGGGCCAAGGCCAGTTCGCTTCCCCTGGCTGCTATGCCCTCGTTCAGCACTCTTGGTTCCCATCGAACCTGTGTCAGACGCTCCAGGCAGATCTATATTGGGATCAAGGACAAGCACACAGACAATTCGGCCATTAATACGCGCCTGTCTTGTGCAAAAGCCCAGGACTTCCTTGTGTCTTCTTGGATAGGTCTGAATGTTAACACAGCAGGTATTCTGAAATATTTGCTCCCCCAAACTAAACAAACGTTCGAATCCATCATCTAATTCGATGACTTTCCATTTCATGTCAAGGAAAAATCTCATTTCCCCATATGTAAAATTATGAGTGTTGCCTGGACCTCCACTCCTCGTCCCATGCCTGTCAAAGCAAATGCGGGTCATTTGTCTCATGCTAAAACCCAGTTTCATCACACATTCTGGACAATAAACTCTAACGTCCTTACACTCTTGTTTATATGCTTCAATTCTCATACTATAACTCTTGAACACATCAAAACATTCTTCACAAATTAAAAAATGCCCAAGTTGCGTCGCCCTCCTCCAGTCAGCAGGGACCTATAGTATGATAACATACAGTAAATAAACCATGTCATGAATGAGGTAGTTCAAACAAAAAAGACCAACATTATACAAAAACAAAAACAAAATTCGTTTCTTCAACCCCAAATAAACCAAACGAACTTTCTAAGTGTGTTTCTTCTTTCTTTGTCTTTTCAACAATGACCCCGTCAATCAAACTGTCATTGGTCAGTTGCTGCCCCCCAGGGGGCCCTTCCTGAACGCAGCAACCCCATGACTTGACTGGTCACCATAAATTAAAATTTCCAAATACATCACCCTACTCATACATGAAATGATGTAGTTCAAAAGAAAATGAAAACATTGTTAACAAAACAAAATTGCTTTTCATTTCGAAAGAAACAAACTAAATCCAGACCTTTTTAGAAAATAATTTGTAAACTCAACAAATTGGCGAACTTAACATGTTCCGTCAGTGACAATAATCGGGTTTTTTTTTTTTTTTTTTTTCTCTTCCCGTCACTGTTCTATTGATCAAAATATTTCCAAAATTATTGAAACCAAAAACATCATGAAAACAATTTATGACAAAAAACAAAATAAACAAAACAAAAGAATAACAACCAGCAAGTGCTCTTTTTTTTTTTTCAGCACTGCCAAAGTCATTCAGGTTCGTTTTTTCGTGTTTTTTTTTTTTTCTTTTGTTTTCATCCACAAATAATGCAATCAGTTCGACAATTGTCAATCATTTTCCACATATAGCTATAATCATTAATGCCCATCAGAATGGCTAACATGAATAGCTTTGGCTCGTTCACTTGTCTTGAACTGCCAGCAATCAGTAAAACCAAGAAATAAAGAACAGCCAATTTTTTCACCAAAGGCTTTAAAACAGTATTTCTTCTATAGCTTAAGATAATCAAAAATACGTATGTGATGAGCGCAAGCCCCACACCTACGTATTTAACCCAAATTAATTCAACGTAGCATTTTGTGAAATTGTACACAGTTATAGCTATGGAAAAAACCATAACTGCAACAATTCCCTTTTTTCCAAACAATTTAACATATCTCGCACTTCTCAGCAGCTGAGACACTAGAATTAGCACTAATGAAATATCGTCCAAAAAGTTATAAAGGCCAAGGCTCAAAAACATCAATACTACTTGCTCCGGCATTCTTTGACTTAATATTCCAGATATCCAATATACAATCAACCATAAATTTATAGAAACTATACTCACAATTTCTTTTGGTCTGTCAATGCAATGCCTTGTAGTATTGCTGTAATTGCCTGCCATTGAGTCTACTGCTGCTGTTGCGAATAGAAGAAAGTTTAGAGAGAGTGAAGATAGCCTCCTTGTCCGCCACCAAAAAGCAACTGAATGATCCGTAACCTTGTCCGCTCATTTAGACACTTCTCAATCCCTGTCACCGCTAGGCCTGCACTTCCGTCCCCTATTTGGTCACAAGAGGAACTAGGGCCTCTGTGTCCTTTGCCGAGTCAGGCAATTTCGACAGTTTCCTGCAGACCAGCCCCAATTTCGAAAGTTTAACGAACAGGACCACCATGACTATTATTCCTATAACAATAGCCAGGCAGATTATGGCAATCTTAACGTGAAACCAAGATTGCACTATTAGGTCCCACACGGAGACAGCGAGTTCTTTAACGTTATCCACCACCCATAGAATAGCCTTTTTCTGCACTTTCCAATATACGGTAAAAATATCGCCCCTATTTGGCTTAATCAATTGAGACTCAAAGTCCCAAAAAAACAGAAACCCTGGCCCCATGGACAGTCCCTCCAGATAATCGTCTATCGGGTCATAAAAACTACGTGACTCTTCGGCGCTATTCAATAGAGCGGAGAAAGCGCATTTTTTCATTATCTGATTACGCGCAATCATCATAAAGGGAGCTGCACCGGTTATCGAGCTTATATCAACCGCCCCACTTACACTACCAACCCGATCTGCGCCAATCACTTTGAAATTTTTGAAAGTACAAAAAACATGTTCCTCTCCATGCATCCACGTAATGTTAGGACTAAATATATTTCCTGGGGTTTTAATTTTCCATGAATCAAACATTTCCATGTCACAATATTGCTCTTTCGCGGGTATCCACAAATACTTAACCTCATCCCAATGCCTGTACACAAATTTTCCCAAACCCATGTTCCAGACATTTGACCGTTTCTTTACCTCATCACGGTCATGGTCCTCAGGCCTCAGACTATGTCTCGAGAATGAGCCACTGTCTTTGATATCAAATTTGGGCGAGGCCATCAGAATTTTATAGTCAGTATTCGTCGCACCGCGCCTTTCTGAAGGTTTCAACATCGGCAAATAATATTTACTACTCCAAAAACCATGCGCCAACGTTCTGGTTTGCAACCCTACGGTTTTATTCCATATTGTCCACACGATCGGGAATATACTCTTATTAGCCGGATGATTATGGAACGACCTCCAGCTTACAGTACGCGTCGTCGTCTTATCCAGCCCCATTACCACTGGAAAAACATCCCACACCCTATACATAAGGTTAGAAAGTCCAATCCATCTTAAAGTCCCTTTGTTAGCAGCATCACTATGGTTCGCCCAAATACCTTGATTTGTATGGGTACTCCGATGAACGCCGTCCCAACCCATACAGTACAGGGCAAGAGCGGACCTGTATTGCTGGTTAGTCACATTACTCAAGATATAGTCCATAATGCCCGAGTAATTTGCCAGTTCTATCGACAGACCTGGTCTGGGCGCATAATCTAAGGTCAGGGGATGCAATCTCTTTCCCCCTACCCCATTCGCCCACAAGGTGGCGTTGATCGTCCACGTATCGCGCCTACTCTCCCTCTTCACCATGTCATTACTCGGATCCTGCAACAACATCCAATCATGCCACAGGTTAATAATATCATTACCGTGCTTTTCGAATTCCTTATAGTCCCATTTAGAGGTGCTATTCAGATAACACACCCATGCGGTCGTCTTACCATAATCAGTTCTGCAATGCTGGTCAATGTTGTACCAAAACTGATTTTCCGGTTTACTACTTACAAATTTGTTCTTGGTCAACAACGGGCACTTACTGCGCCTCTCACACATCCCAATAGGCATGACCAAATGTTCGCACGTTACCCAATTTAACTCAACATAGGCCGGCTTAGGTTTATTTTTATAAACTCCGACAATTAAAACGTGCGGATTTAGGCCCTTGGGCCAATAACTTTGCTGCACTGGGTCTGAATTATCTTCATTATTCCATGTTTGGTCCGTGATCCGATAATTCGCCCCCTCTGGGGCAGATCTACTGCTACGTCTTTTATCTGCTGGAACTTTATCAATTTCAATCTCTATCAACTGATCCCCAACAGTTTTACCCAACCATTTATTACTATGCTCCGTAACAATTTCCTTGGTCAGACAATCCCAATGCTGCACTCCGGTTATCTGGAGTACAGGACTATTCCATATTTTGTACACATGCTTACTAAACGTCAAATTAGTGATATCAGTGAGATTGTACTTTAGGCCCTTTAGCTTTACGTGCGTCTGATTATGACCGTCGAGAATATTCCATCTCCACCTGGTACTATTCTTAATTACTTTACCCCCGTAAAGAGCTGGCCCCTTCGTAGCACTTATTTTCCGAGCCCCTGTACAGTTCCAAAATGATTTATCTATATGTTCTATCAGTCCTTTAAACATGCCCCTTATCATTTTCGAGCCATATTTCACCCCACCAATATTTACTGTTTGCTTATAGCATATTTTTAACACTAATTTTTCAACAACAGAGCAGGATGATACGCTAACCACTTCTGTCTCGTTATCTACTGATAATCCCAGACCCAATATTAACAATGCTGCTCCCAGCATAGTCAGCGCTGACAACAGCCCGATTCCCAAGCTGCTTCGCTTCCTCCGCAGCTTTAGGTACTTCCTCTTCAGATGTTTCCGCTGTTTCACCATCCTGCTTCTGTAAAACACACAACAGACACAGAGACATACATCAACCTAAACTTTCCCTAGCTTTTGTCTGATCCAGATGGTCATTCTCCTCAGTGAGCTGGGTTTTGTTATGCTTGATCTGATAAGTTTGACCCCTTCTATTGCCTTCCTACTCCGAGAAAGTCGGATGTAGTGGTCAAATGCACCCTGAATTCCCACAGCTCACTTCTGTTGCCAAGGCCCATTTTAATCTTCACCCTATCTGTCCCTACAAAAGACTGTTGTGATCTAGCCCTTACGGTCAGAGAAGTTTCCCTGACATAATGGCTATATTCTCTGGGCATGTAAATGGGATACTCTTCCTGAAAAGACATTTCCTTAATCAAGTCAGTAATCATCTCATGCATACTTGTTTCTTTATACACCCCTTTGGTTTTATAACTAACCGGGTGCCCCTTCTCATACACTGGGTCTCTTATGACTTCCTTCCAAAGGTCTAGGTCGCTGTCTCTGGCTAGGGTTACATCTAATACCCCACCTTTCACTAACGGATCCGAATCTCTTGGAACCGGTCCCCCTGAACACAGCAACCTTCCCACAAGAAAGCTTTCTCCGTGTTGCTGATCAAGGCCAATGGATTCACATCCCATTCCGCCATGATCTTGTCTTTGGCCAAACATCCCAAGCTTGTTTCGCTTTTTCTAGTTTGCCAGACACCCTTGAAACTGGTGACTTTTAACCATCGTTTCTTCAGCATCAGCTTGCATCTCTCACATTTTGCAAGCTCACCTAGGTCATTTAATGTACACTTACATTCTTGACCTCGTAGATTGTACTTCAATCTACAGTCGGTACAGGTGTTGCATCCACAAGTACCTACGGCTAGCTCATACTGCCATATACTCCATAGCTGCCTTTGCGTTCGACAGCTTCCGCATACAGTTACGTCTCCCACCGCACAGGCCCCAATGGACCTATCTGTGCTGAACCACTTGGGCAAAATTGTCAGCTGAGCTCTCAGCCACGCCTGACTTTCCCGTATCTCTCTCGGCCCCTCCCAGAGCAGGCTGCAAACGTCCTGTTTGCTACAGAACACACAGTCAACTGGCTTCCTCCTAACTGACGGAGTCCCCTCCTGACAGTCTTTATGCCATGTCTTCACCAAGAATGAATCACTCAAATCCTTACACACTACTATGACGCCCTCTGCTGGACACTTCACGCCCAGCTGGAACGACACTTTGGCTGCACTGAATTGATTCATGTTCTTATACACAATCTTTACTCCCCACCAGATTTCGGATTGACCAAATCCCGTTCGCCTCCAACCTAACGGTAGTATTGGAGGTTAACTCGACTACCTTATCTTCAGTCCCTGTTTTTGCCCTGAATCTTTTATCTTTGCGTTTAAGTAGGATGTAAACTGTCTGTCCTACCTTAAACGGGTTTTTGCTTGTATCTGGCGGTTCGGGCTTTTGGTTAGGTTTGTCGACCCTGTAATTAAGATAATGCGTACACAGGTTAACGATCGAATCCCAATCACCTAAACCCTGATTCTTTACGAAAAACTCTTTTGCACTACGCACGGCGCGTTCTGCGATCCCGTTACTTGCGGCTTGGTATTTCACGGCCTTTACTAGGGCTATACCATTTTCTTTACAAAACGTTTCCACTTCACTTCCTGTAAGGTTATGCGCATTATCCCCGCGGACCCTTTCGGGCTTTCCCCGGTACTTTATCCATTCTTTCAGACTGTCCACTACCACCGCGCTGGTCGCCTGTGGACACGGATAAATCTGCGTAAAATTGGTACAGTTGTCGACTACCACCAAAAAATACACGTTCTTCATCTTTGTCTTTGGATATAAAGGCCCAGCAAAGTCTACACTTATTTCTTCGTGTTCTTTTTCCGCCTTAATGTGCCCAAAATCGTGATGCACACTGGACATCACTTTTCTGCAATCAGGACACTTTATTTTAATTTTCTGATAGCTGGTCTTTAGATTTTGCACATGCAGTCCCAGCTGCTTACAATATTTCGCAACATACGTCGTGGACGGATGATTAAGCTTATCGTGCAGCTCTTGGAGTAGGTTCCCCTCACTCTCTTTAGTAATCGCCCTCACGCGCACATACTGATCCACCTCCCTGTTTCCTACAGCTGCTGGAGTTTTCTGGACCGTATGACTGGACTGGTGCAACACTCTCGGTTGTACCACCTTGGCACATTCACTAATGATTTTCCACAATTCCACCTGCGCCAGTGGTTTACCTTTAGCATTATAAAAATTATTCTGTTCCCATGTGGACAGGTTTTGAACAATGCCCAAATACACGTATTCACTATCGGTGACTAATACGCATTTTTTACGATTGTTGTCCCTCATGTGCATTATTGCCTTCGCAACCGCTGTAACCTCAGCTTCCTGCGCGCTTTTGTCATTATCTAATCTGCCCTTTTCTTTGTGAATAATTTTTCCTTTCAACTTGACCATAAATCCCCACCAGGTTTCTCCCTTCTCCGAACTACCGTCCGTGAAGTAGCAAATCTGTTCCGGATCTATTACGGTCTTCCTGTCCTTTTTCGGACTTTTCTCATTCCTAAACTCAAATTGGTTATCATCAATTATTTTTATCCACTTCGACCAGGTGAAAACATGCACGCGCTTATTCTCATTGATCAAGTTTTTTGCTTCCCTTGCCAAGAGGTCGATCCCCTCCCCTTTAGCAACTATAATAATCAACTTTTCAGCCGCCAATGCCTTAATAACGAGCAGATTCCTAGCAATTGTGGCTAGAATATCAACAGGTGACATATTCTCATGCTTCTTATGGTTAGCGGGTTTCTCGTGCGAAATGAACATAACTGGGGATTTTGAATCCCCTTCGTTATATAATATCAATTCCATTTCCTCGGGGGTATTATCAATCTTAACCCTGAGGTTTTTGTCAGGGCTCCTCCTGACAATTCGCCCCGAGGCCAAAGCCATGTTAATAATATCGCACTTGATACTTTCCAATCTATCATCCCAATGAAAGTCTTTCCCTGCCGTTGCTTTGTACAGTATTTTAGCCTTGGCGCTATACCCTGGAATCAGGTCTCGCACGAAATTTAATCTCCCCAGCAGGCTCTGTAGCTGCCTCAAATTTGTGATTCGTTCCTTTTTCAACTCTTCTAATTTTTCTTGCGTCGATTTTGCTATGCCCCTTTCGGCCCCCGAAATTTCAAATCCTAAGAAATTGACATTCTCCTTTCCTAATTCTAGCTTTTTCAAGTTCAACAGAAAACCAGCGTCCGCCAATTTCCTAATAGTTTCGGACAGGACTCTCATGTGTTCCTCCGTGGTTTGCGTAGCTATCAATACATCGTCAATGTAAGCCGTAACGGGCAGTCCTTCCAATATTTCCAGGATTATTGCCTGGAAGGCGTTAGGCGCATTGCAAAATCCCATAGGTAATCGATTAACCCTCTGAGACCTAAGGGTATTTTTACAATAAATTTTCCGTCTGGTGTCATTTACTAAAAAAGCTTGTAAAATATCAACCCTTTGGTGCACAGACAATTGACACACCTCTTTTTTTCAGGACAAATTGAACTTTCAGCATATTTGTGTTACATTGATGTCACCTGAATGTAAAATAAGTTATGGGACCATAAAGACAAATGAAAAAATAAATCGGAAATGGAATCACTCAATTATTTATTGAAATCACACACAAATAAATAAAAGCTAAGCAATTTTCCTCTGGAAAATAGTTTGTTCATGTCTTTGGAGTCCTGGAGCACAGGAATAAACATTATAACTTGTACAGAACAAAAACTATTGACATTTTTCCAAAAGAAGTCCAGGCGTTTGGGGCCTCATGAAATTCACTGGTGCCAAGTCTCAAAACAGTTCCTATCAGCAATCACACAGAGGGCCACATCACAGGCTTTGCATTTCTATTTTATTTATTCTTTTATTTATTATGTTCTTTTTATTCTTTTATAATACATTTATACTACTATAATACTTTTTTACAGTAAATAAATAAATGGCACTTCAGCTGGGTCTATCCTGGTAATCTAGTTTCTCATCTGTCAAAAAGCTCTGTTCTCCTGAAAATCCTTCATCCTGCAATGCACCAAAATAGACCAGCGCTTTATTTACGTCCATTTCGCTGTGTTTCTCTGTGAATCGCGCGTCTCCGTGAGTCTCTCTATCTCTCTACACTATATCAGCGCTTGGTTCATGCGTAATGACGCGCACCAGTGTTTACAACGGATCAGCCTGTAATTGGTCAAAAACCATCACGTGAAAACATCACGTGATATCCAGGATGTCCGCTAGCATTGAGCTAGCGGCAAAAATGACCGAATATTTATGAATTATGGGCTTCAAGATTATCAAAGTTTGACATAAAGTGTTTGGATTTATTGCTGAAAACCTCTGAAAGGAAGCACAAGTTCCAGGCTGGATAGAAAACCTTCTGTAAAGGCTAGAAAGACCCGAAAGACACCCCCGTGATGGCGAGCTCGTTAGCTTTCTGCTGGAAAAAACGGTAAGAAAATCGATAAATCTGTCATCGAGTTATGTAAACATTTATCGGAGGTGACGTGTGGCATCGTCGACGACGCCGTCGGGCTCAGGGGGTTAAAAACGTACTGCTTTCCCTCGAAAGTGAAAGCGGTCCTTGCCCGACTATCCTTTGCTAGAGGCACCGACCAGAATCCATTAGCTAAGTCAATTTTTGACAATATCTTGCCGTCATCCAAACAGTTTGTCGCATCCCTAGCATTGATCAAATATCTGGTGTCTGGCACCGTTAGTTTATTCAGCGCCTTAAAATTACACACCAAACGGTACGAGCCATCAACTTTTATTACCGCCTGTATAGGGGCATTCGTTGGACAATTCTCCCCCACACTTATGATCCCTTTGCGCAATAATTCATTCAACGTCCCTCTTATTTCCGGATAAGCGGCTTTATTCAGCGGATACTGTCTCTGCGGCGCGGGGATTCCCCCTAATATGGTGTACTCGTATTTATCATCTAATTTTCCACAATCATTTTTGCTCTTTGCAAAACTATTCCTATACTTCTCTAGTAATTTCCTCAACTCATTTTTGGGTAATAGAGTCTCTTTTACGAGTCTATTTATCTCGTGCTCCAGGTCGACCGTTTTCAGCCATCTGATTCGTTTATCATTATCAGGATTCCTATCGTTCAACTCCTTAACATAGATCGCATCTTTAAGACTCATTAAATTCGAGCTGTCTACAATACAGTGTATTCCCTCCCAGTAATATCTATCTCTAGTCACTGGTTTCATTTCATCACTAAAACCATACACCCTATATTGCCCACTTAGCTTCTCAGCCCCGGGAGGCAGCTCGGTGATTGATGTTATTTCCGCTCCGGTATCGAGACGGAACTTAATCCCCTTATAATTAATAAACAAATCCTGTTCTTCTGTCTCCTCAACTAGATCAGAAGCAATGGTCGCTTTTCCTGGAGCCTTTCTGTCCTATTGGTGACTAGCTCTAGCGGACTTATTAGTTCTGACCGCTGTTGCGCGCCCTGGTTTCCGCGCCTCTCTTCCGCGACGCCTCTCCCTCTGCGCCTTCCTTTGTTCATCTGTCATTTTTGCCCATGTTTCAGAGTCTATATAGCCATTCTTTTGCTCACTCTTATTTCTCTGTCCTTGTCTGGGCTGGTGCTTAGGTTTTTGGTAAGCGCGATTCTTTGAGGGCTCTCTCCTGACTGGCTTAACTCTGTCATCATTACTAGACCTACTCTGGTTAGGTTTGAAGTCAGTTATTGGCTTTATTCTAACCCCCTCTAGCGGTCGGCTTCTACCTCGGCCTGATCTTTCCTCCCGTATTCTTACAGTGTCTCTATCGTACCGCACTGCGAATTTAGATATTTCAGACCAATCAGTTTCTGACCCCCAGCGAGCGATTTCTCTACAGCCTGGCAGTTCAGGAGCCAGCTGTTTTAATTGCGCCAGCACCTCTTCTTCAGTCCAGCCCTTGTCGGCTTTCTCAGAAAGGTATGCCCATAAGCCTACAGTTTTTACTACCTCTAACTCATCTCTTATTTCCGCTTTTTCATTTTTCCCTATCACATGATCGTAATGGGATTCTATTATCTGCAACTTCAACGATATCCCAGTGTGGTGTCGGATCATCTGCTCTATCAAGGCAGTGGATGCATTCAGCGTCTTTCCTAGATCTGCTATCATTCTTGCCTTCTGCATGCTATCTTTGGCACCTTGGAATCTCATGTTTTGCAGTAACTGAATTGCAGACACTCTGTCGCCTTTGGCTTGTCTCGGTGGTCCCCGCCTAGGCTTCAGACTAACGTCTTCCTCATTTCTATCTGACTTCCTCTTTTCCCTTTTTGTCTTGCCAGAGCCGCGGTGAGAGATAAATCTACTCCTTGTTTCAAGGGGAATACCTTTTCTTCACCCCCGCAATCCCCCTCCGTGTCAGAGGTCAAATAGTCATACTCGGACTGCGAGTCTGAAAATTCCTTTTCATATTTTACAACTTGCCTATGTGTTTCCCTACCACGGGATTTTTCGAAGCTTTCCCTGGCAACTATTTTAGCGGAGCCATCTCTCTGTTGAGCTTTTTCCTTTTTGCTCTTATTTTTGTCTCTATTAGATTCCGGTTCCCTATAAGTTGTCTCCCTCATTTTTCTCACGTCATTAACGGTTGGCTCTTGCTTGGCCGGCTTATGACCATCTAACAGCAAGTAGCATAATGACTTTTGCATACAATCCAGCTGTTCCGCCAGCATATCTATTTTAGCCTTAAAACTAGTTCCTGGCATGTCTAAGATTTCATCCGAGGTCGGCCCCACGGCCAGTCTGACTACTTTCTGCTGCACTTCTGTAAGGGCTGACCACTGCGGATCTTGCGAATCTAACACTAGACCCGGGCAGGTTAAAAATGTTCTACCCCCGAGATTCTCATGTTCCCTTTGACCCGAACTACTTCGCCTCTCACGCGACAGACTCTTTGAGCGCTTATAATTAACTTTCTTTCGTTTAGGCAACATCTCATCTTCGCTGTAGCACGCACTCGAGCTATCACTGGAGTCTTCCTGCACCAGTTTTCCGTATTTATCTTTTTTCTCGGTGGAAGTCTGACGCGGCTTAAACACGGAATTCTTTTCCCCCCATGTTTCTTCTTCCCAATTCGCGGGAGAGAAACCGGTGATAAAGTTCGCATGTTTAGGTATCGCCCCTGACCCTATCGCTGCTCTCGCGCCTGCCCTTTCCAAGCGGCTATAGACGCTCTCGGCTGGCTCTTCCCGGTCAGTATGCGCTGAGGGGGACGGAGATCCAGCCGAGCCTCGAGCCCGTTGGTCGGGGATCCCGTCTCTAGTTACCTGGATTTCTTTACCCGGAACTATCGGTATTGTGACATCATGGTCCCCTACTTCTACAGTGATCTTATCACTTCGAGTTTGTTCGCCAACGGTTTGGACTAACCTTCTTAATCCGTCGACGGTAGGTGTATACAAAGTACACTCGGTAGCTATGAGTTCCTCAGTTTCTTTTAGCCCTGCGTCTTTCAAGCGCTTGCTAAATTTATCTGGTGGGAGTAAAGCAATATGAGTTATCTTGTCCATGACTGTGTGTCTGCCTTTCGAGAGTTCTGGTAATTATCCTTCTTCGAGGTTATATATATTGGGTACTCGTGTGGTCCCTCTGCGCAGTCCTCTGGATCAATTACCCCTATTAGTGCTTAACCATATAATTTATCTCTCAGGCGTCCCTGAAGATTTTTTACAGTTAATATGAGGAAGCACTCTCTCAGTAACTTCCTCTTTGCACTAAGGAGACACAGTTACTCTCGGTAACCCTCTCCTTTAACTCTGGAGACACTGTTTAGCGGATTTTGATGGTGTTTTAATAATTATTGTTCACTCGGATTCAAATTATTAAATTAATAATAATCTATCCCGGACGAGCCCCCATGTGGTGAGATCTGGTACTACCTCAGCCCTGAAGAGCGCCTGGTATCGAAGTGGCCAGGTGCCTTTTGCTGTCAGGTCAGAATTTCTGGATAAACGTTCCTTATAGCTCATTTAACCTATACCAGTGAATCTAGGTGTATCCCTACACTCATGTGAACCAATACATTATTACTAGCAACAACCATCAATGCAATTCATACTCACCCTCCGTGGAGATGCTTCCGTGGAGTCCTGGTGACCTCTTGCTCTCGCAAGGGTAGCTTTAATGCTCTTACTATTGCTTATAGAACTGGTATTGTGACCCGAGGCAAAGAACTATTCAACTTTTATCTTTATAAAATGAAAATTTATTTATACAAACGATAATAACACTGGTTACACAATGATTGTTAATAGTAGCAACAAAAGAAAAGGTTACAGATTATAATACCTCAGTTTCTCCCAACTTAACAGGGCAGTCCTGTATAAGTGGTTCAGTCACAAAGTTTTTCTTAACATACACAGTTCAAGTATCAAAGGAAATAACTAACCTTGTCTTTCTATGAGCAGGTCAAGTTAACATCAGACAGCTAAGCAGTTAAAGCAATATATGTTCCAGCAAGCTGGACTGAAGAATGATTACCTTCAGAGATGCACGCAAAAAATCTTCTAGCAAGATGCAACCACTAACACTGAAAAAGCAGCCTTATTTATACTGGCTGTGTGACCCAATCTCTCAGACCATCTGGGTTTTTCCATACACTTGCAACACAATAGTAACGGATACACTTGCAACACAATAGTCATGCGAACAATAGTCATGCGACTCTTAGTTCCTCTTTTGAGATTCGCTGAGCAGGCAGTGTGCATTCTTTCTCCCCTTCCGAGTCTTGGGTTCTTTGGTCTTTCTTGAATGTGTACATGCATATAAATTCATATGTGTTTTTGTAAGTTCATTAAAATCTAAACTCTGCGTTGCAGTGACCAAAAGGACATTGATACTGTGGTCAATATTTTAAATGATTTTAAAAAAATTTCTTCTGCTAAGGTAAATTGGGCCAAAAGTGAAGCGATTTTGGTTGGAAATTGGTCACAGGGCATACCAAAGCTCCCACACGACTTAAGTTGGTCTACGGGAGGGTTTAAATATCTGGGTGTATTCCTGGGCGATGCTTCTACTGTTAAAAAAAATTGGGATGATGCTTTTGAAAAAGTAAAAGGAAGATTGAATAAATGGAAGTGGTTGATTCCAAAGATGTCGTACAGGGGACGCACTCTAATTATTAACAACCTTGCAGCTTCTACTTTGTGGCACCGTTTAGCATGTGTGGACCCTCCTCTGAGTTTACTCTCTGAGATTCAGAAGGCTTTGGTTGATTTTTTCTGGGAAAGATTGCACTGGGTATTCCAAAGTGTACTTTTTTTATCCAAAGATGAAGGAGGGCAGGGTCTTATAAATGTGCAAAGTAGAGTTGCAGCTTTCCGAATGCGTTTCATACACAGACTTTTATATGGTTCATCCACTTCAAGTTGGAAGGTTGTTGCTTGTGAGATTTTGAAGGAAATGGGAGAGTTAGGTTTTGATAAATCTCTCTTTTTGATGCATCTCCCAAAGATGAATGTATTGAAGGCGCCAATTTTTTATCAGAACATTTTTAAAGTCTGGGATTTGTTTGATGTGAAAAAAGTTCAAAAGTCAAGCTTGTTCTGGTTACTTCAAGAACCACTGATTTATGGAACCCGTTTTGAAAATGTGGTGAACAGTTCTAATTTTCCTGCAAACACTGGACAATTAATTAAAGCAGGAATTACAACATTGGGGCATTTAGTAAATGTTGCAGGACCGGATTTGGACAATGTTGAGAAGACAGCAGAAAAATTGGGAGTTAAATCTCTAAGGGTGGTTCATCAACTTTTATTGAAGTGGAGGTCAGTTCTTGAAGAAGAGGAGTTGAAAATCATCAAAGACTTTTGTGGAGGTGTAGTAAGCCCAAAGGAGGATGACCCTTTCCATACTTTAAGACTGTCACCAAAAATGGATGAGTATGAATGTATTTTTTTGGAAAAGAAAGATGTTTTTTTCAGTGTTGATTCTTTTAATGCGAAAGATGTGTATACTAATTGTGTGAAAGTTTTTAACAGGAAAGTTTTATATAATAGGAGCGATACACCTTGGCGTAATGTCATTGGTCTTAGTAGAGATTTTAGACCGCAATGGAGAGCACTATATAAGCCACCGTTACCTAAGAGAGCGGGTGACATACAGTGGAGGCTATTACATGGAGTTATAGCTGTGAATGCTTTTATTTCTGTAATAAACCCAGAGATTAGTTCTGATTGTCCTTTTTGCTTGCAGAGAGAAACCGTTTTTCATGCTTTTATGTATTGTGATAGATTAAGACCTTTATTTATTGTTGTAGAGTCATTTTTTAAGGCTTTTAATGAAAAATTCTCTATGCAAATGTTTATATGTGGGTTTAAATATGTAAAGAGAAAGGCTTCTGTGTGTCAGTCGTTAAATTAAGTGTTGGGCCAATCAAAAATGGCAATCTATGTGAGTAGGAAGAATAAGATTGAAAATAGTTCTGGACAAGATGTACTGGTGGTTTTTTACAATCGGATTAAGTCCAGAATAATTACAGATTTCAATTTTTTCAAGGCTATGAATGATTTGTCATTGTTTGAAGTGAAATGGTGTTGTGGAGAGGTATTGTGTTCTGTGCATGAAGGGACACTAATTTTTGCTACCTGTTTACAGTAAAAGGAGTATTTTTATGGGTTTATGTATAAATAGCAGAGTAGAGTTTTTGTGTGTGTGTGTTTATAAAATGAGAACGATGTAATGAAATAATGTTTAATTTTTAATTGTAATAAAATGTGTTTTCAAATTCAATTTGAATCTCTCTCTCTCTCTCTCTCTCTCTCTCTCTCTCTCTCTCTCTCTGCTAATGTAGGTTAAGCTGCTGTTATATGACAGATGAAGGTTGTTCTGATGTGACTTCAGCTCTGAAATCAAACCCGTCACACCTGAGAGAGCTGGACCTGAACATGAATGAACTAGGAGACTCTGGAGTGAAAAACCTCAGTGATCTACTGATGAACCCACAATTCAAGCTGGAGAAACTACAGTTAGTGTCATTATACTGTACAGCAATTACAGCAGTGGCGGGCCGTGCATTTCACACCTAGGCCGTCTGTCCTACCTGAATTAATAACTTTTAATAGTGAATCAGCGTAAAGACTCTCTATAATTGTTGTTTTTAATTTAATTAATAATTGGCAGTTATTGGGTTATGCGGTGAGTTCGGGAGAGGCCGGTAGAGAGAAACGAGCGCGTGAGTTCGGCTGCTGCGTTTGTAAAGTGGTTCTTGCTTTCCAAATCCGATTATAAGTTCAGAAACGGAGCCTCACGTAATTGTACAAACATTTTCACCTTAGTATTTTGTCATCTGGTGAAATAAAGATGAAGATCTCTCTTCCTCTGTCTGTTTTATTTGCTGATGAAGATGATGTGACTTTACAGAATAAAGAGTCTCTTATTTTCTTTATTCTCTCTCTCTCTCTCTCTCTCTCTCTCTCTCTCTCTCTGCTAATGTAGGTTAATCTACTGTTATATGACAGATGAAGGTTGTTCTGATGTGACTTCAGCTCTGAAATCAAACCCGTCACACCTGAGAGAGCTGGACCTGAGCAGGAATAAACTAGGAGACTCAGGAGTGAAAAACCTCAGTGATCTACTGATGAACCCACAATTCAAGCTGGAGAAACTACAGTTAGTGTCATTATACTGTACAGCAATTACAGTGTGACTGAAGGTTATTTATTTGAAGACAGCAGGGCTTATGTTTCATTGGTTATAGCAGTGCACTTTCTGGGTTTATTAAACTAAAACACTTTATTCTCAATATCTGACAGTGAGTCTGAGTTCACATTATATCTGTAAAATTCTTCACATTCATGATTTGTTTGTAAGATAATCTCTCTTCCTCTGTTTGTGTCTCTCTAGTCTATATGACTGTGGCATTACAGATGTTTCTTCTTTAACTCAGTCTTTGACGAACTCAAAAGCTCTGCAGTTTTTAAAAGAGCTTGATCTGAGTGACAATGAGATCGGAGACTCAAAGCAGCGGCTCAGAGACGAGCTACGAGACTCAAACTGTGTCCTGAGGTGAGGAAACATCACTGAGATATTAAAGACATCTTCATTTACCTCTGATATGTGAACAATCCTTTCAAATATTCGTAAAAGGAAATTATCATTAAGATAACAAAACAAAACAAGAACAAAATGTGAAATTATTGAAATGTTGAAAACAAAGGAGGAAAGAGAAGAAAAGCTCACTGTCACAGCTTTATACATCAACACCTGCTTTATGAACTGTGTCAGTAGAAGTGAATCATTTGAGTGTGAAACAGACTTGGTCAGATTGTAGGAAACGCTGCACTCCTGCTAAAATCAGTGCAGTTCCAGCTTCAGCTCACAGCGTCCAGCTCACATGAGCAATGTCTCTGTCTCTAGTGTGTTTTTACTGTGACAAGCAACACGTCACACTACTCGACACTTACTTTACTCTCAGTTATTTACTAAGAGCCTACAAACATGTTTAAACTAGAGGACAAACGGCTTTAACTAAAGGTTTGTGTTTAACTCAAAATAACATTAGTATTTGCTCGCTGTGGTTTATTCCATACGCCGTACACTCATTAGTTTCTCCTTTACAGAGACTCAATAGGAGTCGCACCGACACACACAGACACACATATGAACATGATTCAGGCTTTACATCTATTATATTTAAAAATAATCTAAAAAATCTATACAACATTATGTAAAGTCAGTAACGAATCTGATTACAGGAATTCAATTTAACATTTTTACTCAAAAAACAGTAATAGAAATTTAATAATTTGCACTTTGTTCCACTGAACACTGATTGTTTTCTCATCTGTTCCACTTTACAGTGTAGATAAAGATCGATTTTAAAACATCAGTGGATTTCCATCAAGGTTTAAATCAGTAAAACGGAGATGAGAGGAGCAGAAACCATCAGGTGATCCACAGAAGAGTCTCACTGCTGTCTATGAGGAGAAATACATGTGTAAATGTGTTTCATACAGGTGGAAGAGACTCAGACTTCACTATTAAATAAAGCAGCGTGTGTGTTAGCATGCGTATTAGAAACATGTGATATTGAATGATTAATGTTGGTTTATTATTCAGCCAAATGATGGTTTAGTTGTAATTAAAGGTGGAACAGAGGAAGAAGCTCAGACGAGTGTCCGCAGAAATCTTCACTATCAGGCCTGCAAATATAATAATGTTTAGACTAAACTCATCCAGAATTATTCAAAATATTTCTAATCACAAACGTGATTGTCAAGTATAGCACATAAATGTTTCAAAAGATATAAAGATTACATGTAACTTTTAAACATTTTATCTTATACACAGAAATATCTTTATTGTTATTGTTTTATTGTATATGAAGTTAGTTGTGTGTGTGTGTGTGTGTGTGTGTTGCTGATGCACAGATGTACAGTATATTGTCTTTGTTCAGTGGATGAAGTCTCTTCTCCAACTGTCCTGTTTTCATATAACAATATAACAATTTATATAACAATTCTATCCATACAGAGGAGGCATCCCAGGTGAAAAAGACGTTGTATTAAATGTATTAAAAATATATTTGAAATACAAATAGTGTGTTTATAATACATTTGTATTTACAACATGCTTATTTAAAGTGTACTAAAAATTTATTTTATTGCATTTTAGTATATTTCTAAAAAGTATACTAGAAGTACATTGGTAATAAATATATATTTAATTACACTTTTAAGAAGTATACTATAGAAAAGCATACTTTTAATGTATTTATAAAAAGTATATTAGTAATATATTGGTAATAAATGTATGCTTTATTATATTTTTAATAAATATGCTAATGATAATTATACTTTAAATGTATTTCTAAAAAGTATATTAGAACTACATTGGTAATAAATATATGTTTAAATACACTTTTAAGAAATACACTATAGAAAAGCATACTTTTAATGTATTTCTAAAAAGTATATTATTAGTACATTGGTAATAAATGTATGCTTAATTATATTTTTAATAAATATGCTAATGACAATCATGCTTTAAATATGTTTCTAAAAAGTGTACTAGAAGTACATTGGTATTTAATTACATTTTTAAGAAATATGCTAAATACAAACATATTTTAATTGTATTTAAAAATGTTCTACTAGAAATGCAATGCTAATAAATATAAACTTAATTACACTTTTAGAAATATGCTAAAAACAAACATAGTTTTAGTGAAATTTTAGTGTATTTACAGAAAGCATACTTGTTGCTAAATTAAAGTAATTTTTTTGTTTACTTTGTGTGTATAGCAATTTGTAACCTTATAACTTATTTAACCTTGTATAGGACTAGAGAAATATATTTTTAATATTTATGTTATACTGTAGCATGTGCTTCAGCCCTGCTTTAAAAAAATATTGTGAAAAACAAATGAGACATATATATATATATATATATATATATATATATATATATATATATATATAAAGTTTAAAAATTGCAGTAATGCACTTCTATACTTCTGCATTAATTAATCAAATAGTCTTTCCCACAAAACTGAATACCAGTACTTGCACACATCAACATAAAAGATCAGGTGTACATTCTAGAAAAACAAAATAAATTTGTTAAAGCTTGACTCTTACATTTGTTTAGCCAAAATGAATAAAAAAAAACTGTTTATAAAGCATGTTATGTTTATATTAACAGAGTTGTTTCTTTTTTTGTGGCCGTTAGTTAGTTAGTATTTCCAGCTGCATTCATTTGGACCAATCAGAGCCAATCTTTTCAAAACAAGCTTGCCGGCAATTGTCCAATCACACACTGCCATTTGAACTTACATGTTGGGCGGGGCGCGGACAGCGGTACTGACTGTCTGTGGTATTCCATTATAGCTTCGGATATTTCAACAGAAATCATGTATTTTCCAAATTTTGCTTTGTTATTTCACTGACTCTGACCTAGTGAATGTGGATAGCACCGATTTAATATTGAGAGAACACACGAGCAGATTACCAGGTCGTCAGCTCCCGCGAACAATTTAGCAGTGAAGAGGACAACGCAGAGCTGCGCCGCCACGACATGGACAGAGCAAGATACTGCCAGAAAAGATCTTACTTCTTGGTGGTAAGTTTATTAGTTTAAGTGATTAGTATAATTGGCTTTATTCTCACTTTGGGTTTAGAAAATACTTTCAGAAGTTGATGTCGATGTTCTGTGGATTACTGCGTTTCTGTTTATTTGACACGAGTTATCGTCTATCCATTGACGTCTATCAACTTAATGTTATAGATCTAGACAGTGACATAAAACAACTATAAAAACATTGCACACTGTGTTTGCAGAAAAAAAGGTTATTTAGGTGATTACACAACAGGCTTGATTGTCCCTAAGTAACGTCTTGTGTTTTAAATATTATAATATATTTTAAGCTCTAATAAAACTTACACATTTGTGATATTTAATTCATAGTAAAATCTAATTAATTATTAGTAGGCTGTCAGTTTTCATGTCAATTCGATAAATAAATTGAGTTGTAATCACCAACTATAAGCTTTCACAAAACCAATTATTAAATATCTTGCACTGAGAAATTAAAACGATGTTAAATAATGAAATGAGAGATTTTATATTTAATATTTAGCCTAGCCAAGGAATTTGCACATTGCAAAGACATTTTTTTTTATTAAACCTGTGAGTAGATGAGGTCAAGTCGAGTAAGTAGTAGTTGATCCTCTTGATTTGTAACTTTTTGTTGGTGAAAAACAACAAAAACAGTCAATAGTGTGTCATGTAGCAGCTAAGTAGCTAAGTGACCTATTATATATTAACAGATATTTGAAAAATTGCGTCCCCCGCATGAATATGTATTTTGCCTGATTATGCATTGAATTATGCAATCGCATAATCGTGTTTTTCTCGAGGGACTGATTCATATGATTTTATGTGTGGTATTCAGCTTAGGTTATATAACCTACTTTAAATGTATTGAAATTAATAAGGTATCTTTGAGTAAACTTCGAGTATCATTTGAGTTGGCCCATGTGTTTGCTGGGCCGAGTGTCCTGGTTTTTGGTAATCAAAATATGGTCACCCTACTTCTCCTCTACAGACCGACTAAACATTTTCCCCAGTTAACAGCATTTGTGTGTGTTTCACTCGCTCCTCAGATAGCAGACGGATGTGGGCCACTTCAGGCGATGATGCGGCACTGTAGGCCTTCTTATGGCCCGACAAAATGTGTGTGAGCCTGAAGTGGCCCACGTGTAAAATGGCAAATATGGCCCAAATATCTTAAATCACATGTGGGCCTTTTTAGGCAAAGATGCAGCACTCATGGCAATGTGTAATCTGAATGTGGGCCTAAAGTGGCCCATATGATAAATAATGAATATGGCCCAAATACCACACACTAAATGTGGGCCACCTATGGCAAAAATGTTGCACAATCAACAATGACTAATCTGGGTGTAAACCAAATATGACCCACATATGTTGCAGCAAATGTGACCCAGTTATCTTAAAACAAATCAGGGCCAGTTTTGTCAAAGATGAGGGACAGTAATCACTGTGAATCTGAATGTGAACCCATGGGCGTCAGTGTGGTCTGAAATGTGCTGGGACAGAGACACGTTCATTTATTTCTCTCTTTCGCGCAGGTCATAATTTGACAGATGATGTCATGTATCTTACTAATGTAAATAAATAAAAATGTACACAAAAATGTGGTGATGTCCGACTCGTTTTATGAAGAAGAAAGCCTTAGGTTTTTAAAAGCATTAGACATATATGACCCACTATTCTGCTTCAAGTAGCCGGCCATGTTGACAATATGACAACGGTCAAAAAAATCAAACCCAAAGTACAATTATGATGGACGTTGTCTGATATTAAGCGTTTCTGCTTCACATTTTCAGCAGGGCAGCGGAGACCCATTACATTGCTAAATAATGACTGTAATGAATATAATCAAATCTGCTGTCAGGACATAACTCTTGAGGAGATTATTTGGGGAATAACTCAATTAAAGAACAATAAATCCCCAGGCTGTGATGGTCTGAGATGTAGAAATGTTTCTCTGAGGTAAATTTCTTCTGGCTGTCTTCACACTTACTCCAAAACCTCACACACACTCGCTGTTCATTGACAATCGGCGACCCATTACATTGCTAAATAATGACTGTGAGATTCTAGCATCTATCTTAGCAAAACGCCTCAAATCTAAATTATACACTTTAATTGATGAATGCCGATCTGGTTTCATGAAAGATCGTCACATAACCAATAACATTCGCTTCTGGATCTGATTGCATACAAAGACTTTCTAGATGATGAACAACACCTTATTTTATTCTTAGACTTTCAAAAAGCCTTTGACACGGTAAGCCACAAGTTTATTATTGACACCTTAAACTGTTTTAGTTTTGGTAAGAATTGTATTAATGCTGTATAAACTCTGTACATGTGAGGAAACAGTTGTGTTAGATTGGCTAATGGAAACTCATCTAGTTTTCACACACACAAAGGTCTCCGCCAAGACTGCCCCACCTCGCCTCTTCTATTGGGGATTGAAGCTCAAACTCTCTGTCATTTAATTCACAATAGTTCATTCAAAGGAATTACATTAAATGAAAGAGAAATACAAATCTGACCGCTGGCTGATGACACAACCCTGTTTCTAAAAAATGAATCCCAAATAGGAGTTGCACTAAATGTTGTAAACCAATTTTCTGAAAGCTCAGGCTTGAATCTAAATCTTTCAAAATGTGAGCAGTTTTTTGTTAAAAATAAGCATTCGAGTCAAATATGCGGCATAAATATAAAGAATTTAGTAACTTATAATGGAATAAAATCAGTCCTAATCAAAAGTTGATGACAGAGAGTAATATCTCTTTACTACACGACTATATTCATTAAAGTTTGACTCTTGGATCAAGAGATATATCTACGTATGGCAGGTTCTTCTTCCTAAAGCAGAAGGTCTCTCACGAGCTGCAGATTTATTTACATCAATAGAAATTCATAAGTTACAATGTGCCAATCTAGACAAACTATTATATAACTTTATATGGAGGAAGAAGCCTCATGAAATCAGGAAAAATATCTTGACTAATAAAATTGAGGAGGCGGGTTTATCGGTAATTGACTTCTCACTTTTCAATGAGATATTAAAAATCAACTGGATTAAAAGATTTGTGGAAAATCCAAACAGTTTCTGGAACATTGATCCAAACTTCATCTTTGTAAAACTGCTTTAAACATGATATTCTACTGCTCCTCCAGGTGGTGTACCTATGTGTTTCAGACATCTATCTATTCGATTCCCTTTAGCACCACCAGCTTTTCAAAAAGTTTGGGTTTAAGACGTCGTCTGTGTGGCCTATTGATTAAACGGTAACACTTTATTTGAAGGGGTGTGCATAAGACTGAAATGACATGTCATAAACATGACACTTTTAATGCAAAGTTGACATTGTTTAAAATGTCTTTGTTGTGAAAACTTGACATTAACCAAGACAAAAATGTCTTGATTATGACAACTTGACATTAACCAAGAAATCATAACCTGTCACAAATGTCATAACAGGTCTAATTATCAAACTTAAAGAAGTTATTTAGCTTTGCGTTAACATTACATTACTGTCATATGTGGTTGGTTTTGACTTTGGCCGTCATGACACCATTATAACTGTGACATGAATATTTTACTTGTCCTCAAGTAAAGTGGAACACATTGTACTAGTTATAAAGATGTCATTAAGGGTTATTACACTGTCAAATGTTTTAACAACAGTGTCATTAATTTTTCCCCTTACCTCAAGTAAAGTGGAACACGTTGGACTAGGTATAAACATGGCAGGTTGACAGGTTATGATTTCTTGGTTAATGTCAAGTTGTCATAACAAAGACATTTTAAACAATGTAAACTTTGCATTAAAATTGTCATAATTTACCGAATGACACTTAATGACAAAAGTCATAAACATTCATAAAGACTCCTTCATGTTCATGACAGGTGTTATGTCATGTTTATGACAGTGTCATGTCAGTCTTATGCACACCCCTTCAAATAAAATGTACCGATTAGACCCGCAAAGGAAAACAAGCGCTCTACAGGAGCTGAAGAGGGAATGATTGTGTTGAACCTCACAAACAGCTGTCTAATAAGTGGATACTGGTTCAAGATGTCCAAATCCTTCCTCTGATCTTCTAGGATTCTGGCTCAAAGTATTTTGAGTATTTTGAAAATACAAAAATACTCATCCTAAATGTATTTAAATACAAATTACATTTGATTTTTTCCAAGACGAGTGTTTTGTGTGTTTAGGGAGAGCAATAGAAGTAATTGTGCCGAGCGTCTTTCCCGAAGCGTTTGACTGTGTGTATCTGCTGTTATGAGGCAATACCACTAATGAACTTTCTCAAACCACTTCTCTCTCCACAGGTGAACTCCAGGATCATTTCTGAACAAATCCTCCATTTATTTCTATTGGCCATTTTCTTGTTTGTTTGTTTGTGTTTAAAATAAAGTATGTTTATCGCATTTTTATTTTGTATTGGTGTTTTTTTTAAAGGGTTTTAAAGCGTCTGTCTTTTCCGTGGCTGTCCATCTCTCAGTCTATGTTTGTCTTTATGTCCCTCATTTCCGCCCGTCTGTCTGTTTTTCCGTGTCTTTTTTTATTATTCCTTGCACAATATATAAGTATTACACAGGGATACTTTCTGGTTCAGTTTTGGGGACTGTGGTATAATATTGGCCCAGTTGTGTCTGTTTTCTGCAGCTTCTGGATAAGATGTGTCTGAGTTCTGGCCTAAAGGTGGTGTCCGTTTGGCTTTTGTCTGGCTGACATATGGGGATTACGGCGTTGTTTTGGGCCAGTTCTGGATAATATCTGGGTACGTTGTAAAGCTCTGGGCGAGTTTTGGTTTTGGTAAGCGTTTTAGAATGACCCCGATTGGCCGACCCGTAGCCGCCTACACACTCACTCAATGCATGGACGATCTGACAGGATTAACGAACGTTACCTCGGTTGAGTGGCCTGACTTCTACACCTACCTTATAGAGAAACCCATCGTAAAGAGAAACTGAGGGCATATAAATCTTTAGATGCCTATATGGTCCTGTACAAGACTTGTGTGTACGATCCCTAGTTCTGCTGAGACCACGACAATATAAAGAATGATTACAGTGCGATTTTAATCATGTGAATATTTTCTAGAAATAAAAGAAATCAATTCTTGCACCAAACACAACAAGATGACGTTTAATGTAGCCGAATCTGTGCTGGTTTGTATTGGCCGCCTCCAGTTTTCACTTGTTTTGCCTCCAGCTAGTGCCGTGACGTAACTGTGACGTCGGCACAAAAGGGGTCTATAAGGGACATTGAAGCAGCTCATGATTACATTAGAGCAGAATCTCTGCAGTTTTTGCAAAGAAGTTCATACAGTTTCTGAGTTTTTATGTCTGTATCTGTTTTTTCTGTAAATGCCAGAGCTGTTAGAGACCCATTGAAAAGGAAATGTTTATTTTTATTTCTTCAAAACAAAGGTGCTGATTTTTATTTTACACAGGAGACTCATGCTTCTAATTCGGATATTTCTTTTTGGAAGAGTCAATGGGGGAGAAATATATGGTTTTCATTTGGGAGTAACCGGTCAGCAGGGGTCGCTATTTTACAGAGAAACTTTAAACAGCAGATTCAAGCAGATTCAAGTGGGAGATGGGTAATACTGGTTGGTGATGCAGATCATTCCCAATTCATTATTATAAACATATATGCGTGTAACAACAAAAAAGACAACAAGTTATTATTTACAACAGTAGAAGATAAAATTAGCCAGCTGATTACAACTTTTCCTACTACCAAGATTATATGGGGAGGTGATTTTAATACAGTTATGGATGGAAATCTGGATAGACGGCCTCAAGAAAGTTCTTCAGATGAGTTGGAGAATGTATGTCACAGGATTAGTCTTGTAGACATCTGGAGACTGATCTCAGTGTGTGTCGACACACCTGGCCAGGACAAAATGTCTCTCCTCTTGCCGTTCATCCAGCTTTATCTGCCCAAACCCTTGATTCGCGTCTAGCACAGAAAAGTACTTTGCATTCGGCATTCTTGAGACCATCTTCTGCTGTCAGCATTGGATAATGCTCTCTTTTTATTGCCAGATTCAGATCTTTAGGATCCACACAAATGTGCGTTTTCTTGGATGTAACTACAGGTTCAATGCTGTCGACCCATTCAGTCGGCTCAGTTTGCTTTGCGATGACCCCCATCTGCTCCATTCTCTGTGGTTCTTCAAGCACTTTCTCTCGCAGAGCTACAGGTCTCCTTCTTGGCGCATGCACAACTGCTCTGACATTTGGATCAGTTTGTATGTGGTGTTCTCCTGGTCAACAGCCTAGTCCTTCATATAGATCGCCACAATCCTGGAGAATGTCTCTGCTCTTTTCAGTTTCAGACAGTCTTTTAATCATGCCCATTTTTGACATGCAGATTGTCCTAGAATGACAGGTGCATCATGATTCATTATTTCCAGCAGGATTTTGTATTTCTGTCCTTTGGACACACAATTTAGTGCTTTCTTGCCCAGTGGCGCCATCTTGTGTCCAGAATATGTCAGACGTTTGCAGCTTGACCTCTGCAGTCTCCCTGCTGTGTTTAGCAACTTGTGCTCTCTTTCTGACATGATGACAGATGACCACTAGATGTCCTCATAACCTCATATATGTAGAACAGATCTAATATGTCACACATCGAGTTAAATGAAATCTTAAGTCCATGTCCAACTCTAAATTGTAAGGAATTTATATCTTTGATTTGATAGTAATGATTTACAATAAGGTTCATTTGTTCATTATTCATGTATGAACCATGAGCAACACATTTGTTACTGTATTTGTTCATCTTAGTTAATAATACAACTGTTTGGCTAATTGTTTATTCATGTTATGTCACAGTCAGTCCTGTAGAAGCTGTAGAAGTGCAGTTCATGATGTTAACTAATTTAACTAATGAAATATTAAAGTGTTACTGATTCATGATATCTAACACTTTCATATATATAATACATACATTACATTTACAACATCAACAAAACTAAAAATGAATTTCCCATAATGACCTTCTTGATTCTCACTGTTTTGTTTAGTGAAGTAAATAATATTTAGTAATATTATCATCATTTCCCTATTTTCATTTGACGTGTTATGCATTCTAATTGTATCAACATAGTAATTACCACTTTATCTAAAACGTTCACACAACTACAATACTCACACGCGCGCGTCTCTGTTTACCCCCCCCCCCCTCTCTCTCTCTCTCTCTCTCTCTCTCTCTCTCTCTCTCACGTCACACATTGAAAGTGAAAGTAAGTTCTGTTGATGAGGATCATGTTATATGGGGACGTGCGCGTGCACTAATTATTAAAATAAATAAATGTTAACATGTCCCTATCCACAGTTGTCTTGGCTATTCCTCAATTTAAATTAAGCCACAAATTGTCATTATAAAAATAATCTGCGAATGCCCACACATTGCATACTTTATTTAAGGTGTGACGAATCTGTCGCTGTCTAACATCTGCAGGAAATCCAGGTAAAACTCTCTGCGTGCACGCGCAAGCCGCGCCTGTAACACCTGATCCGCCATTTTAAGCAGGAAAAATAGGAATACGACACGGAAAACAAACAGAACATCAACTTGTTTATCAACGTTTAAGAATAAACTTCCGTGTAGTTTTATAATGTGAAAGCTGGAGGATTTAAGATCTTGTATCTTGTAAAACTAGTTTGATCAAGGTGAGTGTTCGTGACTTCCTCATAACGTTAACGTTAAATATGAATCTCTGGAGGACTTTTTACTTGATTGTTAGATACGAAATCTTTATAAAGGGTTACTTTTTTGTTTCAAGGTGTCGTGTTTCGTGATGTTTGTGATTAAACACACAATTAAACGCCAATAAACTTTTATTTACTCACTCACACACACACACACACAGAAAGTGAAACTAAGTTCTCCTATCGCCATTTCGATATAATATAATAGTCTACGAAAGAAAACAAAAACAAATAAGACTATCAACGTGTTCTTTAACGCTTTAGTCTCTCATGTCTATTGATCTAGTTTAATAACACACATTTAAGGCAATTGGTAGGTTTGTTATTGTTGCGTTTGTTTGTGTTTTTTCATTTTTAATATTTTTTGTGTATATTTTGTAACTATATATGTTTTTACCCCTTAACAGATCTTGAATTAAGGAAAGTAATTAAGTAAATTTGATAAAGTATTTGATTTAAAATAACTATTTACATCACTGTGACTGTACCATTTACAACATCAGCATTTTGTTCATGTAAGGAAATTGTTTCAAACTAAAAATGTAAATTTTATCTAAAATTATGTTTTTCTTAAGAGTTATTTTACAGATACATTACAGATATTTGGCCATTGTTATTTTTTGCTTTTGCTTTTATTTTTACTTTCTTACATATTAAATTTATTCATTTAGCTGACGCTTTTATTCAAAGCGTCTTACAATTGCTATATAGACCATTTCACAAGATGTAAACAACACTGGTCCAGAAGCACTTCCTGTTTCAGTTTGTAACTGTTGTCTTTATTTCACATGTAAAGAAAACATCTTAAAGATGTTTGTTTAACTTTTTGATTCAGTTTTAAATGTTCTGTTGGTTGTATTTTATCCCAGCTTTTATGTAGTGTTAAAAAACTGAAACAGGAAGTGCTTTTGGACCAGTGTTGTTTACATCTTGTAAAATGGTCTATATGTCAGAGGTCGCACGCCTCTGGAGCAACTAGGGGTTAAGTGCCTTGCTCAGGGACACATTGGTGTCTCACAGTGGATTCGAACCCGGGTCTCTCACACCAAAGGCCTTTGAAAAGTTTTCAGCAATGTGCATTAAATAAAGGTCCTTAACTTTTTTTTGTTCAAAATGTATAATGAGCGAGCTCACTGATGTTTTTGTTATTGTATTTTCAATATTATTGGCTATCATTTGGGCATAAACATATCTGGTTATAGTAAACATGCTCCAAGCTTACAAGAGCGATAATATCATTAAATGTGAAGGGGGCCCCTAAAATATTTTTATGGGAAAAAGGGGGTCTCAGACCAAAAAAGGTTGGGAACCACTGTGTTAGATCATAACACTAGAATCAGAGCACTATAATTGTTCTTCATGCGCACAGACATTTGAAACTGTTAAAAGAAAAGGCTCATAAGCTCACAGCATGAGCGCTGTGTGCCGCACTGTACTGAGCCTTTCATATCATAATGCAGTGACGCAATGACAGATTATTAATAGCCTTTCTTGTTCTGTCCTATCAGATGTTGCTGCCTCATTAAACAGCTGTGCTATAATTTAAAACATGTCTCAATTTTATAGTAGCCTAGGCTATATAGCCTAATAATTGATCTTTTTGATTTTTGTTATCTTGTTTTTCATGGATGTATTTTATAACAATACAAAGAGCAATATGTAAAGTTTTACCAGATTTAGTGCTACACTTATTAGTCGTTTGTATTAGTATTATCGTTTGTTCCGCACTAAATGTTTTTTTCACTAAATGTCCAGATTTTATACAGTTATTGTGCACTTTTGACAAAATTTTACTGCTGAATTATCCACTAATCTAGTTTATAATAGCATTTGTCATAGAGTATGATCTAGGGCTGAACGATTTTGGAAAATAATCTAATTGCGATTTTTTTTTTTAACCAATATTGCGATTGCGATTTAATATGCGATTTAAAAAAAAGTTATTTACCTTCTGTATTAGTCGACAAAGACAATCAATAAATCATTGTACAGTAGGGATGGGAATCTTTAGATCTACCGATCTACTTTTTTTCTTATTAATTAATCTTAATAACTCTTAAAATATGTATTTAATTACATGTGTAAAAACACATACTTTAAAAAATAAATATATAAAAAACATTTAATTAAACCAATTACATGTCAAGAATTTTAAATAGGCTATATAAAATAATATAGCTTCAAAATATAAAAGCTAGTAAATAAAGAGAAACAAAAAAAAAACATTACAAGCAATAAACAGAATGGTCTCAGAATTTAAAAGTAGGCTGTCTGAATGTTTTTCATTCAAGAGCTGGAGTGATTTCCCCTCAGTTTAGATACGATAAGCTGCATTCACACTAATGCATATATCTCTTTTGAAATTGTAAATGTGGTTTGTCTTGTTGGTTTAAGATATAACTGACCGTGTTTACATTAATTTCGCGTCATAAAAGCATTTTGACATGCAAGTACATTTACCAATGAGTCACTCACAGCCGCATGCACGAGCGCTCTTCACAAAGCACGCGTTAGTATTTTAAAATGAAAGCAGCCTTCTCAGTGATTTTCATGGTTTTAATATAAGCCAACTGCATTCCAAAAGACATAAATAATGCCTCTGTGAAGCATTTGTAAAGAAAATTCCCGCGGGAGAGAACGCGCACTGCAAGTGTAACGTTATAACATCAAGCAAAGCCGCAAAACCTGTTCAATGAAGCCCGCGAATGTCCTTGTAATTCGGTTCAATTCCGAACTTTATGAAATAACGTTACTATGTTTTGGAAGGTTCGAGCGGTGTCGTGTGTGTGAGTGAGGAAGAGAGAGAGCGAGAAAATAGAAGCAAGCAGATTCAGAACACGGTTCGTTTCTAAAGCACGCGCAGCGTCATCACGCATCTGTGTTTAAAAACTAAGCTCATACTCGATTCTGAAATTCTCTGAATCGATCCAGGATTGTTGAGGAGAGGAGAGAATAAATAACACAATAAACTGTTCTTTTCTGAACGCCAGACCGCGTAGCGTGGCAAGTTGATGCTTTTATCTTGCAGACTGCTTTTCTCTCGCGTGTCACGTGACCAGTGTAATCGCAGCATATCGCGATTTTATCGCAAATGCAATTAATCGTTCAGCCCTAGTATGATCATATATTTTTTTGATTTGTTGTTATCTTTATAATGAAGTTGTCTGTATTAAGTAGATTGTGTTTAACACACAAACGAGTGATTATTATCAGTTCAACACAGAGTGCTAGTTGATTAAAAACTGCGCTGGTATCGGATTGGTATCGGTATCGGCCGATACGCAGAATTTTGGTATCGGATCGGTTTTGAAAAAACGGTGTCGTTGCATCCCTAAAAAAAGCAGGTCTTGAAAACTTAAATGACTACTTCTATCACTATAATATTTACTGCATTAGCTTTCAACTCGTTTTAGAGAACTCTGTTACGAACTCATCCATGTCCGGTTCGTGTGTTATTGCTTCTCCATGAACTAAAAGCACAAGTTTTTTCCTCTGATGAATCATTGTTCTGCGTAACGGTGTCCACGTTCTTGCCAGAGTAGAGAATGAGCTCTCCATGAAGCAGTCGAGACACCCGTGACCACAGCAGATACACACAACTGATGAAGACCTGCAAATGCATCTTTATATTCCTGCAAGAGTTTGCAAACAGCAGGACATTCAGCATCCGATGGAGGTTTTTTGGCCAGCGTTGGTGTGGCAACAAGAATTTCATTCGGTTCATTTTCTGCAACCCCTGCAAGACTACAGAGAGGCTCAAGCAACTGGATGTCCAGAAATGTTTTGGATTTTGGCATTACACCTGAGAGGATTGCATCAGCTGTGTAAACCTGTTTTCTATCTCTGATACAGCTGTATCTAGTGTGTTCAACATGTGTCGTCTCAGAGCTTCAGTGGCAGATTCAGAAGCGGACCCTTCTTGCCCTAAAGCTGAAGCAATGCCAGAGTCCCCATAGGAGGGGTTCACAGTCCTTCCAGGGTTTGGTGAGAGCTCAACAGTAGACATGTCAGCGCCGGACTGCTGAAATCCACTGTCATTTACTCCGAGATTTACAGTGAACCAAGACATCCCTGCACAACTTCAGCTGCACTGCTCAAATCAACATGCTGAGACTGTAGGATGGCGTTTGCTGCTTTTAAAATTGCGAGAAGATGAATCAGAAATTTGCCAATTTTTTAAATAATGGCATCGCTTCATCTGAGAGAGAAGCAAGGTTTTGAAAAGTCAACTGATGCTTTGTCATCATTGGAAACCTTTAAAAGAGTGTTAATATTCTTATTATCCTCAACACATGTTCTGGCTTCATAAAGTCCTGGTGTGGGGCCAGGGTGGGCCAAGCTTCTGATTGGGTGGGAGCCGGGCCTGGCTTCAGTTAACGCAGTCACATGATCATTTTTCTCACACACTCTAGAATTATTATGAAGGTTATTTAATAATTTAATATTGTGTGTGAATGTTTCTTCATCAGAGTCAGTGGAGGAGATCAAACTCATCAGTTTCTTCATCATGGCTGATTCACAAGCATCCAGAGATGGAGATTTCTCTCCAGGACGCAGGTACTATCAACTAGCACTGTTAAATATTTACACACACACATACACAAAGATCAAATGATCTTTTAAAGAAGTAACGTAGAGGATTAAACTGAATCTGTTCTCTGTTCCAGTTCAGTCCAGCAGAAGAGCTCAAATCCAGAGTCCAGCTGTGTGTCTGTGAAGAGTGACGCCTCTATGGAGAAACCACTACATTTCAAGAGTGGAGACAAACGGCCTGATCTCAGGTATATCATTTCTGTGTTATGCTTATAGTATTTGATATTTATTGAAATTTTGATTAATATACAACAATCATTATTATTTTATATGAAAAAAAAATTATTTTATTGACAAAATATTTTAGTTTGTCTTGTATATTTTTTCTGATCAGATCAGATAAAATTTTAATCTCTCATATGGTCGTGTTATGATGTGCCTCACCTATGGGGCATGCTGTCACACTTCACTTCCATTCTTTCAGTGGAAATAAAGAAAAAAATACTCACTTTATTAATGAAACAAAACCACATAATTGTTCTAGACGTGTGAAATGAATGGGGAAAAATAAATACTCTGAACCCCAAGTGTATTTACACAAACTGAGAAAGTTAAAAAGTGTTAGGTTGTGCCCTGCTCTCCACTATCATTTCTATAAAAGTGTTCATTGTTTGATATTTTTTAATTAGAAGCAACATTTATCAGTCAGTCAGTTTATTACTTGCAATGACATCAAGTAAATGTACGCTGAGAATTTTTCCACATTTATATAATTAAGAAGATTGTTCAGAAAGTTTGTAACAACACTCTCTGTTGTTTCCTAAGAGAGAATATTCCTGTAAAACTGCACAACATTTATAAGTCTGGATGTTTTTATTTTACTTAGTTTGAAAACCAGTTCAGTCCAGCAGAAGAGCTCAAACCCAGAGTCCAGCTGTGTGTCTGTGAAGAGTGACTGGTCTATGAATCATCCAACAGAGTTTAAGAGTGGAGACACACGGCCTGATCTCAGGTATACCATTTATATAAAAAGTTATGCTTATAGTATTTGATTTTTTTTAAATGAAATGAGTATTAATATACAGCAGTTTAATTCTCTGGATTTGAAGCAATGAATTTTAAGTTGAAATCATGTTAGTTTCAGTCTATTAATGATGATGATTGTGCTCTTGTGTAAAGCTCTATGTATTGTATTGTTAATACATTCACACACTGTAAAAGCTGTTGGTGTGTTACTCAGTTAATGACACAATTACATCAATATCAGTGTGTCTGATTCTTTACCCTCTTCATTCTGATTTAAGGTCAAATCTTCCATCCAGACCAGTTAAAAACAAAACTGTGTTCATGCCTGTGATTCAACCACAAGACTTTCATGAACGCATGTGTCCTGGTTTCAGGTAAAATTGATTAATTTTAGGAGCTGAAATTCACATCACACATCACTCAAACACATGATCAATGATTCAAACATTTCAGAAAACCAATGATGTTCTGTGTCTCATAAAAATTATATTTTGTAATTTATGGTTATTTACTCCTCTGACTTGTGTAATAATGTGTTATTGTAATCTTCCAGCCATGACTCTAAAGCTGCTGAAGTCCTCAACACACTGAGATCAAATCTGAGACAGAAGTTTGAGTGTGTGTGTGAGGGAATATCAAAGCAGGGAAAGCCAACACTCCTGAATGAGATCTACACAGAGCTCTACATCACAGAGAGTGGAAGTGGAGAGATCAATAATGAGCATGAGGTGAGACAGATTGAGACACAGTCCAGGAGAGCAGAAACAGAGGACACACCGATCAAATGCAGTGACATCTTTAGACCTTTACCTGGACAAGACAAACCCATCAGAACTGTGCTGACAAAGGGAGTCGCTGGCATTGGAAAAACAGTCTCTGTGCAGAAGCTCATCCTGGACTGGGCTGAAGGGAAAGAGAATCAGGACGTCCAGCTCATATTTCCACTGGCTTTCAGAGAGCTCAACTTGATGAAGGACAAAACACTTAGTCTTTCAGATCTTCTTCATCGCTTCTTCCCTGAAACCAGAGAAATGGCCATATCCAGTGATGAGTATAAAGTGCTGTTCATCTTTGATGGTCTGGATGAGTGTCGTCTGTCTCTGGATTTTCAGAGCGATGTGAGGTTGTGTGATGTGACTGAATCAGCCTCAGTGGACGAGCTGCTGACGAACCTCATTGTGGGGAATCTGCTTCCCTCGTCTCTCATCTGGATCACCTCCAGACCAGCAGCAGCGGATCTCGTCCCCTCTGAGTGTGTCCATCGAGTGACAGAGGTACGAGGCTTCAGTGACACACAGAAGCAGGAATACTTCAGGAAGAGGATTCGTAAAAAGAGATTGGCTAAAAGAATTATCTCACACCTGAAGTCCTCAAGGAGCCTCTTTATTATGTGCCACATCCCAGTGTTCTGCTGGATCTCAGCCACTGTTCTAGAGGAGATGTGCAGTGAAGCAGAGAGACGAGAGATTCCCAAGACTCTCACTCAAATGTACACACACTTCCTGCTCATTCAGACCAACATCAAACATGAGAAGGACTATGAGAAGAAAGTGAAAGATGAAGACATGATCGTCAAACTGGGGGAACTGGCGTATCGGCAGCTTGTGAAAGGCAACCTGATCTTCTATGAGGAAGACCTGAGCGAGTGTGGCATTGATGTGGCAGAAGCATCAGTTTACTCAGGATTGTGCACTCAGATCTTCAGAGAGGAGTTGGGCTTGTGTCTGGGGAAAGTCTTCTGCTTTGTTCATCTGAGCATTCAGGAACATCTAGCAGCTCTATATGTGCATCTCTCCTTTATCAACAATAACATCAATGTGTTTGACCAGATTACCAAACCAACTAATGGAGGCAAAGTGTCCCTATCTGATCTCCATCAGAGAGCTGTGGATGAGGCTTTACACAGTAGAAATGGGCATCTGGACCTTTTCCTTCGTTTCCTTCTGGGTCTGTCAGTGGAGTCTAATCAGAGTCTCTTACAAGAACTAAAGACACAGACAGCAAACAGCTCTCACAACAATGAGGAAACAGTTGACTATATTAAAGAGAAGATCAGTGAGAATCCCTCTCCAGAGAAATACATCAATCTGTTTCACTGTCTGAATGAACTGGGGGATCTTTCTCTAGTCAACGAAGCTAAACCTCGTACATATGGAGGATTACGTGATGCGAAACTCTCCTCGTCTCAGTGGTCAGCTTTAGTGTTTGTGTTGTTGTCCTCAGAGGAGACACTGGAGATGTTTGACCTGAAGAGATTAATTGGAGACAGAAGGGATGGGTAAGTAACACTGAGTGCAATCATTACAGTCTAAAAAATTATGAAGAAAGAGAAACTCAGAGATCAGAGGTGTTTAAATCACGGGCTCAGACTGATTTCTGGGATACAGTGCAGTGCAATTGTATGAAATGATCAGGAATGTCCATGTGAGATCAGCATCTCGTGTGTGTGTGTGTGTGTGTGTGTGTGTGAAGAAGACGAGGATGAATGAGTGGTGTGTGTGTGAACGAGATAAGGATGAATGAAGTGTGTGTGTGTGAGTGAAAGAGACGAGGATAAATGATGTGTGTGCGTGAATGAATGAGACGAGGTTGAATGATGTGTGTGAATGAACGAGACGAGGATGAATGCGGTGTTTGTGAGCGTGTGTGTGTGTGAAGGAACGAGACGAGGATGAATGAGGTGTGTGTGTGCTATATTTTGTGCTATAATGTGACTATATTTTTTCTAGCATTATGATATGAATTATTTTTATTATTGTTAGTATTAATAATGAGCATTATTTATTTTCTATTAGTGTCCCACAAAACACAGGAGATGAAGTTCTTCAGAAGCTGATGCCTGTGGTTACAGCAACTAGACACGCTGTGTAAGTAACCCTGAGAACAAGCACCACTGCTAAAACATCATAACAGTTCTTAAACATTATAAATTAATGGATTAACAAATAATACGAGTGTCACACTTCAGCTTTTAAACCCTCCACCTATCTAACCTGATTAATGATCTACGGAACCGTTTTTATGATATTTGTGAGAAATTTCTTTTCAAATACATGCATTTATAATGTATGTATATAATCAATTATATTTAGCCTTTTTTCTATTGGCTCCCTCAATCCCTCAACTTTTCTATAGATATAACTGTCAGGCCCACTGGAGCCTCATCAATAGAGACGCATGCGCTGAACACCTCTGGAGTAAACTGACCCTGGATCAGAACCGGCTCCGGAGCTGCTATGGCTACTTATGAGAGAGATAGCTATGGGAGAGATAGATCAGGAATTTAATGACTTTTATAGGCGATTTGATACACACGATTTTAATGAAATTAGTAGGGATTTTTAGTTTAGTTTGAAAACAGAGGAATATCTGCACATTGATAAAGCCTCTGTTTTGAGGGTTTTACAAACCACCCAAAAAAATAAAAGCCCTGGGCTTGATAAAGTCAGTGGGAGAGTTTTAAAGAGCTGTGCTGATCAGCTCTGTGATATCAGTCATTTCATTTTTCAGACCTCAGTGAAATTACAGAGAGTGCCTTCAGTGTGGAAATGTTTTACTACTACTACATACCCTGAACGTTCCCTCTGTTTGTGGAGTCGAAAGTTGAGCTTATCCGCTTACTCACCCTTAAAGGTGCAATGTGTAAATAAGTTGATTATCTATTAACAGAAATGCAATATGACATCCATAACTATGTTTTCAGTGGTGTATAAAGAACTTACTTAATTAACCGTAATGTTTTTATTACCTTAGAATGAGACATTAATAGCTCCATAACCGAGGGAATCCCCTTCTATGAAGGTCGCCATGTTGTGACGTCATATTCCTACCGTAGCCGAACGCGAACACAGTGCTACAGAACGCGTTTCATCACTACCTTGAAAGAGAAGTAGCGGAAAGCTGGAAGCTAGCCTTACACTCCGTGAGTAGTGACTTTTCCCTTGTGAGTGGTGTAACATATGTAGTTGGGATTGTTTCATGTAACTTAGTTCTCCCTCGCTGTGTTATGGGTTTGTTATGTTGGGGATAGATGTGCTGTTACGTTCGTGAGACAGCTGATGATTAGTATTCATGTCATTGACCGTAAAACAGCACGTTACAGGAATCACTAACCCGTTGATAGAGACTTTTACTAAAGTCTTTTATCACTAAAGTCGATCGCGAAGAGTTTTCAAAATCAGAGAAAAAAAGCCTATTGTGTGTAGTAAATAGTATCTATGGGATGCGGAGATGACATGATTGTAACAGCGCGCGCAGTTCCGACCTTTGGACTCATGCGGACGCGTCCCAGCTCAGCCACAGTAACAGCTCATATTAGCCAGCTAAACTATTACTACCCTGTTAGAAAAAATATATAGCTGCTCCCTCGCTGTATTGGGTTTGCTACAGTATGTGGGGAGAAATGTGCTGCTGGTTACGTTTGTGAGACAATCAGCTGATTAATATTATTATATTAAATTATATATTAAAACCCTTGATCCTCACCTGACTGGCTTTGTAAACAGTATCCATGATGTGGTTTATAATGGACTGTGGTACAGAAACAGTGACAATGTTACACACTCTTGGCTTACTCTGGCTATTCTCTGCTGTCTCAGCCGACGAGATGTTTGTCCCGTTTTAGCAACCGTAGCTTCTTCGAAAGGGAGGGGTGAGCAGTGGGCGGAGCCCTTAGTGCAAACCTGGTGCAAACTCGCAACCGAACCACTAGATGTCGCTAAAAATCACACATTGCTCCTTTAAACACACCCATTGGGTCTGTCACACACCCTGCTTTCTGGAATAACCCCTGGGTTTCTCCTTCTTGTCTTGCTCTGACCTTCTGCCTGTTTTAATGGACTATGACTTTGGATTTTGCTCTCAATAAACTGTGTTCGGTTCGTCAATCATATCACAACACACACACACACACACACTGCCTTTCAAACCTTTTTTAATATAAGTCTCTTCTGCTCACCAATGCTGTATTTATTTGTTTAAAAATACAACAACAAAAAACAATAATGTTATTAAAAATTATGACAATTTAAAATAACTGTTTTCTATTTTAAGATATTTAAAAATGTAATTTATTCTTGTGATCAAAGCTGAATTTCAGCATCATTACTCCAGTCTTCAGTGTCACATGATCCTTCAGAAATCATTATTATATTGAATTTTTAATTATATTGTGATGCTCAAAAAACATTCATTATTATTATCAGTGTTGAAAACAGTCGTGTACAATTGTTGTTCAGGATTATTTGATGAAGTTACACTTTACTATAAATTCACATAGAAAAGAGCTGTTTTACATTGGAATAATATTTTACAATATTACTGTTTTTTATCAAATAACTGCAGCAAAAGAGACTTCTTATAAAAACCTCAAACATATTCTGACCCCAAACTCTTGACTGTAGTGTATATGAATGTATTGCTGTGTAATCATCATTGGTCTCTACAACTGCATAATTACACCAGCAGTTTTCTGTAATATGATGGTGATAAAAAACCTCAGACTTATGATACATAAATCCATGAAGTACAGCATATGCCAATCTAACTGGCCATAAGAAATACTTCATATCTTAATATACAAGATCGCGAGCACTTACCATTGTCATGTGACTCGATTACATCATTTCTAAACTGTTGTGAAAAGTCTTTCAAATAATGAGCGCGCACACAAGAAGCAAGATGTGTGTTTATTACGTAATTGTGTGTGTATTTGCCCATTCAAACGGCAGGAAGCGGGACACACTGACAGGGGGCACAAGAAGCCATTGTGTGTCTAATGTGCTTTAAATCAAGCACGTCCCGTTCCTTATTGTTCATTTATCCGTGCTTCTCAATCACTCTAAAGTTTAAGCAATTCACTCAGTGTCTACAAAACATTAAGCACTCACATGTACACACACACACACACACACACACTCACACACACGCACTCACACACTCTCACACACACACACTAGGGCTGGGATGATGCACCTATGTCCTGATTCGATATTATCACGATATTTGGGTGCCGATACGTTTTGCGATTTTTAAGAATTGTCATTGTTTCTATTAAAATCAGACTTCCTCTATTTTGATCGCTAGACATCAGTGTTTAGATTTGAACTTTAAACTTTTATCCCATTACTTCTATTTAAGCTGTTTCATGACAACTCTCTCTGGGTCAGCGGCAGCGCTGCACTAAAGCACTTTGAGCTGCCATAGTGTATGAAATGTGCTATATAAATAAACTTGCCTTACCTGTTATTTATAGTTTAAGTGTTGTGTTTATCTCTAGATATAGGCTTAATGTGTGTCATTGTTCTCTACAGGTTGGGTGTTTGTGGAGTCACAGATGAAGGTTGTGTTGCTCTGGCTTCAGCTCTGAGATCAAACCCCTCACACCTGAGAGAACTGAATCTGTCATATAATAATCTAGGAGACTCAGGAGTGAAGCAGCTTTCTGATCTACTGGCAAATCCTCACTGTAAACTGGAGACACTGGGGTAAGATCATCTCTACCATAAAGACTCTGAGTGAATAAGGATTAATATGTAGATAGTGTATACATGTTGGTGTAAGACCGTGTCCTAACCAGACGCGATACGTTAAGATTCCATCGAAAAATCATTTGTCTGTCCACACTAGACACGACACGACTGCGAGATGCGTCAATATCAATCAAAACCCACAGCCAATCAGAACAGTGTGTGGGCGGAGTCTCACGGCAAGTGCACAGCATCAGAGAGTAACCCTGACGGCTCTCGCAAGAAAATGAAAATTAGCTACATAATGAAAATTAGCAACATAATCAAATTCACAAATATGACACAATTTAAACATTCAAATACATAGACTACTGAGGTACTAAAACAATCTTCGTCAAATAATACACTAGTTTGTTCTCAGTTTAAACATTCTTGTTTCCATTTGTTTAATTTCAAGATCTGAGGTGAATTGTCCATTATTGCTTTTACGGCTACAAAGCCGGAGCACTAAATGATATTCAGAGTCACATTACACACTTTTAACGTTAAATAAAGCACATAAACAGTACCTGGGATTATCATCGCCACACTTTGTGTTTGTTGTTCCAGGAACAATAGAAACCGTTTCTAAAATAGAATCACCGCTTGTCGCCGTCGTGGCTGGTTAGGACAAAAACTCTGATTAACATGGAAAAGAAACCTTTTATCGTGTGTGGCGAGTAGTTAGGACACGGCGTAAGCCCTATCCGGTGGTTCAGCGACAGATTCCTGCTTGAACCGTCAGATCCTGTCGGCAGTAGAAGACAGCGGTGAGGAGTCTCCCTGAAGAGGAACATTTACATCTCACTATATTATTATCCCACAAAACACAGTAAAACCAACAGTTAAATAAACCGGACGAACTACAAACCAGACAACAGATGCAGGATACAGTGAAGAGGGTTTTTAAAGCACAAATGTTTGGTGTAAATCAACTTGCCTTGTAATGCTTGAGCAAACAGACCCTTGCAAAAGCGTGAGCATTTCCTCAAAATGTGTGTGTGCAGCTGAAAGTGGTGTGTGTTTCACCTGAACCAGGACTGACACCAGATCAGATTTATCACTACATGATTATCATGGCCAACATAACACACAATATCAATATATCACCATAACTATAGAAATCTTAAATAATAATGCTATCAGTCAAATTCATCTTTACTTTGTTTATTTTGTGTTATTTTTGAGAAAGAAGAATCACTCTGTAAGGCCTACAAAATTGATCCAAAGACGGCGTTCGACTTGAGGCGAAGGTTTCACGCGTGTTCCGTCTTTCCCATGGCAAAGTGATTTTTAATTAAATGAACAACATTAATCATATTGTAAAGACTCAAGGCGGGTCTGATCAAGGGGGAATTTGCATATCATAATTAATAATTAATAATTATTCATACAGATTTGGATCAGACCGGTCTTACATATTAATAAATCTCCCATTTAGGGATGCTTATTTAAATTTTACTTGTATGCATCCATGTGCGTCTTTGCAATTAACCACAAATTAATTGTTATTAATTGCAAGGACCACGTTTTACAAGACAGGCAAAATCAAATAGCTCAATTAAGTTATAGAGCTTGTGAAAACAAATTCTGTGGCCACAAGAATTTAGCTCTCCCAGCTCCATAAACAAATACCCTTCTAGGTATGTTTAGTTCTGTAAAGCGTGTAGCTTGATCGACATTTCATTGACTCGTATTATGAGCAGACAGTAAATCAGTCAGAAATGAGCATAATTGCATTTAATATATATGGCATTTACAATGTTACAATGATGCATGTATTTACAAGCATTAAAACACAAACTAAGACGACGCAGAGCGTTTAGACAATGGATACGCGCAAGTTAAGTGAGTTGGAGAGAGAGAGTGAGAGAGTGAGTTGTAGAGAAAGTGAGAGAGAGTGTGTTACGTTCCCCAAAACAGTCAGTTAACCTTTCTGAACACCACGAAAACACTTTCTTAATGCTTCTTAGAAGCTCTAAAAGAAGGTATACTTGCAGGGCATATTTGGTCTGTGTGAGTCGCGGGCTCGTTGCTCGGCCCGTTCGGGCCACGTGTTGACTGGAGGTGCTGTCCTGCGTGCGCGCGTCACGTGGAGCGCGACCGCAGCGTGTTTGCGCGGCCCTTCCCGGCGCGTGCATGGTCGGTTGCTTGTGCGTGGCTACGTTGTTCCGTGGGGAGTCACGTGGCGTTCGGTGGCATTCAGCGCGAGTGTTTGAAAGGCTTAAAGTCTTTGAGGTGACGTTACCCGAGGAAATAGTTTGGCAAAGTCCACTTCCTTTCCTGGGAGACGAAGTTGGTAGTCCATTTGAGGAGAAGACGAAACTTTTAGACGAACAAAAGGAAAGATCCATGGTCGGATCAGAGTCCCGTGAGGTTTACATGCTGAAGGAGCGCTGGAAAGTTCAGAAGAGAGTGGGCGGAGCCGCGCTCCCACATTTATCACCTTGGAGAAGTCCATCCCTTTCCTGTTGGCTGGAGCCAATCGGAGAGTGGATGTTGCACGCGGGAAGCCTTCTTTTATGGTTCTTTGTTCTCTAAAGGAATGCACGTGGGCGTGTGGGGGGGGGGGAAGCTTCAATGAAGAAACTGTGAGCACATTCTGGTAATATTCAAGTTGTTATCGACGGATAATGTACTTGTCCATCTTAATCTTCCCTGTACCAGTTGGTGGGTACCAGATATGCCATACATTATTATTGGGTAGTCGTAGTTTGGAGAGTTTGAAACACTAACCCATTAGCATTTTCAAACAACATCGATCGAACACAAAATAAAAGGTACATCGTGAGATAAGGAGATTGGATGCATTGTTCATACAATTTCTCAAGAGAATATATAACAGAATGCACAGGTATATAAATAAGGATTCATTTCTCCTTAGTTAGATTTCGAAGAGAAGGAGAGAGGGCCACACTTCTCTGAAATTCCTTTGAGAAGTCATAAAACAGTTGAGTTGCCTAGCCAAAAGTCCTTACAGTATGTAGGGCTGCAACTAATGATTATTTTGATAATCGATTAATCGGACGATTATTTTTTCGATTAATTGGATAAAAAAATTATATTTCATTTTTTGTTTATTATAACTAAATGAAACCCTAAAAACCACTCTTTTCTGTGTTAAACAATCTACTTAATACAGACAACTTCATTGTAAAGAAAAACAACAAATAAAAATATATATATGACCATAACCTATGACAAAAATGCTATTGTAAACTAGATTAGTGGATAACTCCGCAAAACTTAGCCTAGAAATATCGCAAGTGCACAATAATTTTATAAAATCTGAACATTTAGTGAAAAAAGCATTCCTTAGTGGGGAACACTAGTTCTTGTTGCTGTGGTTTATAGGCCTCCAAAGCCACACAAAGATTTTTTGAGTGAGTTTGCTGACTTTTTAGGAGGTATTATGCCAAACTTTGAGAGATTTTTAATTATGGGGGATTTTAATATTCACATATGTTGCCAAAAAGACTCATTTGTCAAAGACTTTATAAATTTAACATAAGTTTTTGACTTAGTGCAGCTGGTCACAGGACCGACACATTTAAAGTCCCCGTGAACCGGAAGTTGCAAACGATTTTTCTCCATTGCTGTGACGTATTTCCAAGTGAAACGGAATATTGAACAGAGGGCAGGGTTTTACTCTAGCGCTCCTCCTCTCCATCTCTCGCTCATAGCAAACTAACGGTTTGAGGGGAGTGGTTAAGCGTTTCCCCACCCAAGCTGTGAAACCTACGTCATCAGAAAAAGAAACCGTTCCAGACCGGAAGTAACTTTTCAGATTTTGATTAAAGATTACCAAGGTAAAACATTTTTTAAATATATATTTACTTGCACGGATTAATTGTTCACCACAAGACTAGTAATATGCGCTAACAAAGTAAATAGGTTCAATTTTGATTTCACGGGGACTTTAAAGGGACACACCCTTGATCTTATTCTGTCCCATGGGATATTGCTGAATGAAATTGAGATTTGTGAACGTAGTTTCTCTGATCACAGCCCCATCACATTTAGCATGCCTTTATCACGCAACACTATAAATCACTGTAAAACTGATGTGAAGGCTCGTAGAATCATTGATTCTACAGCTAGTGCTTTTGCTGAAGCTTTTGAGGAGCTTTTTAATTATTCTGAATTCACCTCACCAGAATTGAACCCAGATGAACTATTTGATAAATTTGAATCTACCTGCAGCACTTTTTTAGATGACATAGCACCTCTGAGAATAAAACGCCAAATATGCATCCCTGAGCCCTGGGTTAATAATACTACTCGTACCCTGAGACAGATATGTAGAAGGGCCGACGAGAGGAAATGGAAAAAAGATAAACTACAGATCTCTTATGAGATGCTTAAAGACTCTCTTTTTAAATATCAAAAAGAGTTGAAAGTGGCCAAAGCAAACTATTTCTCTTCTCTTATAGATAAGAACCATAATAATCCAAGAGTTCTTTTTAATATTATTAATACTGTTACAAATCCAGCTGTGTCCATCTACCCAAATGAGTCAGTGGCCATGTGTGAGCGGTTCTGTAAGTTCTTCATAGATAAGATAGCTGGTATTAGAAATAGCATGCTGCTGACCACTGGTAACCCCGCAGGTCAGTTAAAGTATACTGGAAGACTCAATAACTTTACACCAATCACATTGACTTTTTTAAATGATATGGCGAAGCATCTAAAACCTACAGGATCACCGTTAGACACTATCCCTGCACGACTAGTGAAAAAAGTGTTCAATGCAGTGAGTCCGGCACTCCTACACTTTGTAAATAAATGCCTAGAGTTGGGAGTGGTCCCTGAGCGTTTAAAATATGCATCTGTGCAACCCATACTAAAGAGGCCAAATTTATACTCTTCCAATCTGTCAAATTTTAGACATATCTTACATTTCCCATTTGTAACTAAAATCTTGGATAAAGTAGTTCTATGTCAGCTTAAAAACTTTTTTAAATGAAAACAAAATTAAC